AAATTTCTTTGCTGAAGTGTGGCTGGATTAAGGTGATGGCTTCCAGGTTCCAAAACAAATTTCCTTTGGACTTCTGTGCAACTTGCTTTTATGCAAGCCAGCTCTGGAATAAGAAGCTCAAATACTAAGACAGGACATGTATGTAGGGTACAACTAAAAACCTCACTCCTGAGATCCATTCATCCTCTTGGAATGGATGCCCCYATTCCAGAAGTATTAAAAGCCTGGCTAGATGRGGCTTTAAACAACCTGGTYCAGTGGAAGGTGAACCTGCCATGGCAAGGGGGTTGGAATGAGATGATCTTTAAGGTCCCTTCCAACCCAGATCATTCTGTGATTCCTGAAGAACTGACAGGACTCCAGTAAAATGACCCAAGTTATGTTGGTGGAATAGTGTCAAGCCATCACATGACAGAGTAATTCACAGAAGTTAAAGGTTATTAAGCTCTCCAGCTCTCTCTGAAATTAAAATCCCCACAAATTAGGTTGCCAGGACATGCTGCATGCACAGAACTGGTGTRTGAGGAAAAATATGGATACAGTCCAGCCTGTGAACTGCACAGTACCAAAGCATGAGGACACAACAGAGTCACTGCCACTGGTGGCACTGGAMACATCCTGGATTTCAGTCAGGCCAGGTCCAGGGTAGGTGGCCCGTCCCACCAGAGAGATGCACAAATTGCAAGCTGGCCACATCTAGCCCAGTTTACAGCCTGTGCCATGTCTTGCCTAAGAAGAGAGGTGGAAGGTTGGCAGGGACATTTCTCTGTGTCTCCTCACCAAGCTCCAGGGCARCTCTGTTGAAGCTCAGATACAAATCCATACCTCCCCGCTCCAAAGGTGGCCATGATTTGGAAAACTGAGCCAAGCATTTTCCTATTCCATGCTATTTAATAGAAATATCAACCTTATCCACACAATTATATTTTGTCTCTGTCTTGTATTTAAAAACAATATAATTTTTCTTATTAGCCAAAGGGTAAGAAGAGGTCACACAAACCATTACAGAGCCTAAAAGCCAGATATTAATTTCAAAAGACTGTAATAGCTTCGTGATCTGTGCAAAGAAAAAAAAAATCATCATTCCAGATGATGTCTTATATGCACTGGCTTCTTTGCAAAATGAATTTACCTTTTCATTACTATTTACTGACTGTGCTTGTATTCCATTTGTATGGATTTTATCCAGCAAAAAAGAGCCTCAGAAAAATTTAATATGAAGATGGAGACAGTGAACAATCATTGGAGTCTGTATCTTGACTCTTGAGGTCACAGTTCTGCTGTTTCTATTATGTTCATTCCAGAGAAAYAAAAAACCCTTTTGGATGGGAACATATCAAGGTTGATAATGGCATGGACATATTCAGGAGCTGTAGTGCCTAAAAACATGTCTGTGACAAAATCAAAGACTTCACCCTCACAGTTAGGCTTGTGCTGCCAGTTTGTCACACAAATATTAAAAATCCTCAAGACTTTGAGCAGCTCTGCAGTCCAACTGCATATSCTCACACAGAGTTGAGTCAAGCTGTATTTTAAAGCACATATTGGCCTAYACCATGCTCCAGCTGTGTCCCTCAGAGGGATGTACTGGGACCTGTGTCAACTGGCATCCAGTGCKCCCTCAGCACATTTGCAGATGACACCAAGCTGAGGGTTGGTGCTGTTGACACTCCCGAGTACAGGATGCATCCAGGGAGACCCAGACAAGCTCAAGAAGTGGGCCCAGGGAGACTTTGTGGTGGCTTTATAGTAGTTGTAGGAGGCTTACATGAAAGATGGGGACAGACATTTTAGTAGGGTCTGTAATGATAGGACAAGGGGTAATAGCTTTAAACTATCAGGTAGATTTAGACTGGATCTAAGGATGAATTTTTATACGACGGTAGTGAAACGCTGACAGAGGTTGCCCAGAGAGGTGGCAGAGACCCCATCCCTGGAAACATGTGAGATCAGGTTGAACAGGGCTCTGAGCAACCTGGTCAGTTGATGTCCCTGTGCACTGCAGGGGTGTTGGGACTAGATGGCCTTTAATCAACCCTTCCAACCCAAACCATTCTGTGATAAACACTGCATTGTACCACAACTTGAAATAGAGCTTGCAGTCTAAGTTGAGGCACAGTTGMATGTGAAATCAGGCTTCCTTACTACCTTACTGATATTTTTGTTTATCCAACAGCTACTTTATGTTCATCATCCACAAAAAATTAGAACTAGGAACTCCCTTCCAGAGCATTAGACTAACACCCTGAAGAAGTCTTCACGCCAAAGTGTGCTTTCATCTTAGTTATGTCTCTTTGCTGTTTTCTTTGGCCCTTAAATATCTCAGCACTGTCTGAAATAATTTCCATTCCTCAAGCAAAGATTTGCAGACTCAATAACATCAGGACTGCCAATTCACRAGAAACACTAGTTAAAACAAGGAAGAGCAGAAACTCATCACATTTGTCAATCTGACACTTGAAGTCTTCCACAAATTAGACCAGATAAATATTGGGGAAAGACCTAAATCTTAACTAGAAACCTTTTTATCACTCTGTTCTGTAAAAGGGAAGACATTAAGTACTTTAAATTTCAGGATTTGCCCAGGAGCTTCCAGAGTCAACACTRAGATTATTATAACAAGTTTCCAAGGACACTCAATTGAGGTTTTTTTCATTAGCCTCCATGTCAATTAGGAGCTGTCTATAATGACATACAATGCTGCATACATTCAATGCATTATAGGCAAAACCRTTTAACAGGATACAAAGGGAACTCTTGCCTATACCCACTCTGCTCAAGGTAAAAATAACAGATCTCAGCAGCAGAAAAAGAATTATTAACATTTAAATTTATTCCATAACCATCTTTAGAACCAGCCACCTGTCCAAGGTCTGTAGAGTTTTATCAGTGTGTGAAAGGGGCCAATCCTTCTCTGAACTCAAAGACTTTCTCTAAATCTGAACAAAAACATCCTAAAGTAGGAATCAATGCCCAGCACTAGAAACTAAACCTTCCAGTTCRACCACTGATTTCTTGAGTTATCTTTACTGATCCAACCCAATACAGCTGCAACATTTCCCAAGTCTGTCAGAGGAAAAGGAAAAAATGTACAGCTTTCCAAAGACAGTAGAAAGCTGCCTAATTGGCACTGAGTCAAGTCACACCTTCTATGCACTGTCCTTCTGCTATTAGTCATCACAGTGTTCATCGCTGCCCTAGAAAAATACTTCTCTAAAGTAAAAACTAAACCACCCAAAGAATGTGAATCTCTTGTCTGTAGCAAATCTGGGACATGGTGCAGAACCACCTATTAGTAATCACCACTGCCCACACAGCCTCCCTGAACATGTTTTCAGAGCTAAGTGAGAAGTCTGGGAATAAAACACCAAAAACCCACCAAGAGTCAAAGAACACACAAGACTTTCTGCTTAGTAAAAATGTAYAAGCTGCTGCAGGTTCAAGAAACCTCAGCTTATTCACTCACMTACACATTCTCARTTAAGAACTGACTKMATGATGCCTCTTCTCATGGCCAGTRCCACTCATACAGMTAAATCTACAYAYATCCTTGATARRTTCTCTCCAAAATAAGGCAGATTTTGTTTAAAAACAGTTCAGTGGAGACTATTCTTAATTAAGTCATGGAACTCCATTTGGCTTGTCAGAMTTTTCATTACAGTGTCATTGTATTACCTTGTCATTATCCTTCAACTTAGCAGGGCTTTTTGTCCTAAAATTCAGTTTTGCCCTAAGCAAAAAGCAAACTGCAGCCTTCCAAAGCTCACAATCCTGCTGCTGTAATTACATGCACCTAAAAGGGCATCCCAGAGAGCACAGTTGAGATTAAAAAAAAAACCACTGCAGTTCAGTTACTGATGACCAGCTTCAAAAGCAGATAGAAAGCAGACGGCCCATAAAGTGGATATGAAGGTTCTCTTAGGAATCATATATTTAAACCTTCAATCAAAACAATCCATGTTCCATCTACAGAGAAATACATAATAATCTATACCTTAAAATAAGTACTTTTATATATATATATATACATATATCCCAATATTTATACAGAGTAGGTTTTTAAATGTGTTATCTAAACTRTATTTTATATGTGTATGCACATGAAACAGACAGGCATGTTTTTWAAAAAGTTGTCCTTACAAAGCTTCCTATTGTGAGTGCAATCCAGGAAAGCCCAAGCTCACAGGTAATACCATAAATTATGACAAACACATTCATTAGCCCAAAGCTTGCATGACCAGTTCATCTTAATAGCAGTAACATAACTCACATCACAGTTGAACTAAATTCACCTTAAGCGAAAAGCCTGTGCCATGTCTCACTTGTCTTACCTCTCTAACACAAACCTTTTCTTCTTAAAGGCCTGCCATGCTAAACCTGAAAACACTTTCCCATATATTTGTCCTTGTGTAAGTGCATAATGGAAAGCAAGAACTCTTTTTCTGGGAGACTTACGTTCTAACAGATTTTTAGATTTTGATTTATGGAACAATACTTTTTTTTCAGCATTAAATCTAATTTCTCTTTGCTAAAAGGAAAATAATACTTAGAAATGAACTCAGTTAAAAATTCAGCAGCTCAGTTGTTCTCTAGTTAATTACAGATTCATTAATTCAGACTCCCTGATATGACCTCATGTKGTAATTTCAAGATCAGTCTGCATGACGAGTCACCCCTACACTAAAAAGAATAAACACCAAGCTATATATGTGCCTTATAGTCCACGGAGAAGGTAAAAAAGGTTAGGAATCTGTAGAACTCAACTACAATTGGTCCTTTATGTCAGTGACTGGAGTTTCCATGATTCCAATGTTAAGTTCTCAGGAAGTGTAACAGTTTCAATTACATACATTTACAGAACAGCAGTAATGCCACACAAGACCCATTAGAAATATAGAATTTATTTCTCATTACATTCAGACAGCAATATATTGAAGATTTGGACATGCCATGTCTTGTATCATAGGTGACTTAYAGATCCTATGTTTATAGTTGTGATAGCTGTTGCTACCCCAGAAAACACAAAAYGTGTTTCTGGAGTGGCTCTCTTGAGAACTTTAGGCCATTAGCAGTATTTTTTGCAGATGGGTACTCTTGACAATCCAAAAAATTCATCTGTCACAGCCTACATTATCTGATCCTTACTCTACCTTACCTTTCCATACCCAGAGCTCAAGAAAGCAATTTCAACAATAGCAGTGGACAGGGAGATTAAGGACTTGCCCCTCATCTTCCCTCAGGCAGCAGTTCTCAATAAAGGCAAAACCATGTTATATAAGGCCACCAAATTCCTCATGGTCCATGATCTGTGCTTTTGGCAGGGCAGCTCCTTTCCCATCTGGTAGARTCTCTGCAGCCCTTGCTTCCATTCCCTCCTTGCATATCCAGGTGCAAGTTAACAAAGAGTCAATCTTACAGTTCTGACAACATCCTAAAACATGTTATTTAAGYCATCTACAACAAAAAGTCTGTGAGCAACAGGAAAAAAAGAAAAAGACAAAATTTTCTTATGTTTAAACCTTTAAAGTACCATGAACAAGAGGTATCTTCACAACCAGTGTCCTGACAGCATCTGTTCAGTGTACTTCCTTTCATCCTTACAAACTCAGAGAAACTGGGGTGGGTTTTTTTTTCATCTCCAAACTCTGCAGGCATTCAGCTTGGGAATACCAGGAGCTGCAGCGCATCATCACACGAAGATGGAGAGGGACAGGAGAGTGAGAGTGAACGGGGAGGAACACAGTGACACTGCCCTTGGCAGGCTCTGCACCAGCCWCACAGAGAATATGCATACACGAAATGAAGGACTTTGTTGTTTTCTTGCTCTACTTTTTGTCAGGTTTTTTTTTTAAATTAAAAAAAAACCCACATTATTCCTGCTAAGGCTGGTTGTGCAAAGTTAGTTTTCAAAAACCACCATTCAGTCTGACTCAGTTCCTGTGCACATGCTTTCTGTTGATCCATTTCTCACTAGCATCTTGCTGTAGTTTTTCTGCTGTTCTTCTTTGAAAGTATCTTTGACTTTYGCTCGTTTCAGACCTCCATCCCTGTAACAGAGCAAGAGGAAACAGTAAACTATCAGGACTATTATGGCTATTGTTATCAAACTATGCAATATATTAACTACTTTAGTCAACTACAGAGTTTTAATCTAAATTATTATTATTAAAGGTTCTTCTTGAGAACTTCCACATCATCCAATTTTAAGCACGCTTATTAAAACCTTTACCTTAAGCCACAATGCTTATGCAGTTCAAATTTTGAATTCAGCCCACTAAAACAGGCTGTACCTACAGAAATTTTAGGCAATCTGAGATGCTATTCTCTAGACTGTGAAGGCAGGCAATCTTCTGCAATGCTGTAGTCGTATCTTGCTTTGTGTTATTCAGAGCTGAGTCTCATAGCTGAATCTATTTGCCCATTCTCTTCATGTGAATTTTGCTCTCAAGTTTGTTTCATCAGATCTAGGCATTATCTTGCTACTTACTAAGGTAGGACATGAGAAAGTCAAAACAAAGCTTGAAGCTTTCTGCTCTATTTTTGCTGTTCATCAGATTTGAAGTAACTTCACTTCTGCTACTTAACTACAGCAGAAGTCTCAACAAGAGAAATAACAGTGAATTGCCTACTTCAAAAGCATCGAACCTTTAGGTGAAACKCACTGCATACTACATGCTCCAAAGACTTTATTTTTACATATGTGCATGTGGAGTTATTCCATTGTTTTCTCCTRAGTGGAATAAAGGGATGTTGAATGTTATCTGCCACAAAACTAAGGAGGGAAGCACTTCTCAGTCAAACTAACCACAGACAGTCCATGAATTYTAACAAGGATAGCATCACTCACCAGGGGAGTTCAGTCAATCCTCCTTGGCGAGCAATGGCTGACCTCACTCTGTTGGCAAACTGAACAGCATCTTCATTTTCCTTCAKGGGTCATAAATTCAACATAATCAAAGCAGAGAAGTCAATTGAAGCAGACTTTCATATTTTTTTTTTAATCTGCTGCCTCATCAAACTAGTTCACTGCCAAACAATCCATCCCTTATCAAACCAACATCACAATCTGATGCTCCCATGTGATAATAAATTAACACATCTTTCCCCTAAASTGTGGAAATTAGGAGAAAATTTTGCTTCTATAGAATGGAGCATTACCATTATTGCTACTGTGAACAGCACTGGATTTACTGCTATCCTTTCCTTGCTTATCTGATGCACTGCTGATGGCACCAAGCTGCATCAGTAAAAGCCAAGTCCAATCATACACCAGTCAGCACTGACAAAAATCCAGTATAAAACTCAGATTTACAGGCATGGGGTGGGTAGAGGTTTTGAGGGGAAAAAGAGAGTAAAAGTACACTTGCAGTCACAATCAAATTCTTACATAGCAATCAGTCAACCAAATACTGGATTACCTGTCTAACCATTGGTGGCAAGTACCACACATTRCAAACGATGGCCCAGCTGGTCATTATTCGCAGCAGATAGCTCACAATGTTGTATTTGCTGCTGTTCCAGAAAGCATCCCCAAACTGAGGATCATACTGTAAARGATCACAAAAAACAACTGATTAAGCCTTTCCCCAGACCATCACAGCCTCTCAGACCTGGGATTACATGGCAGAACCAGCAGCAGATGTCACCTTAAACAGCCAGAAGAGTTAAGTCAGTTGTGAGCTTCATGCCACTCTTCTGTTCAGCTCAGGAAAGGACTAGCTGGATTTCTGTTACTTCCAGCTTTCTGGAGGAAGAAGCTGACCCCATCATGGACTATCAGCCAGGCTCCACARGCCAAAGGACTTCACTTTCATTTTCAGCCACTAATACTCCAGAAGCCATCCACAGCATGCACCCAGTTGCCAGAGCTACTGTGCTTTCCAATAGCAGCTGTACAGAGACAGCTTCCCACCACTCCGATAAAAYCCATCCCCAACTTTGAAATTCAGCACTATTTCTACTTACTTTGATTGCAACAGGATAGATTGTCCCTCCTATTTCAAAGCTCCCTTTCTTGAACATCATCACGGATGTATTGTTTATACAGGTGCCTGTCCAGAAGACAAAGTCATTGCTTTGCAAAGCTATTTCAGTAACACAAAATCAACATAACCCAAAAGGTCTTACCCCTAAAGGGCCTGCATTTGCTGCTCAGTGAGTGTAATCTCCCCTGCTTACTTTTATCCTTTGWCTTGTGACTGACTCCCTGAATAAAGCCAAAAGATGTGCAAGACAAAAAGCRCAATGCTGAGTTTAAATCTGGAGGACAGTGAATTAATGTTCACAGGTCAAAATAAACAATCTTCCCATTCTTCTGCCTACAGCTCCTGCCAGGAGAAGCAACATCCAGGGGCAGTATAGTATTGTCTCCATGYATATTCATCTTACATTAAAGATGAAAAACAGGAATTCCCTAACTAAGTTGAAGCTAGAGGTGAAGATAGATTTGAGCAGCAGAAGCCATGAAAAGAGAAGAGGGATGACATCTACACTGCATGGAAGTAAGTAGTTCAGTTTCTTACCTTCTGGAAAAATTAAGATCGGGAGCTTGGTTTTATCTGCCACGTGTTCCCTGAGTCTGTGGAAGCAGAAGGAAAGCTTAAAAAACAGCTCCTTCCCACTCTTCTTTCCCCAGGCAGGTGCATTAAAAATACCTTTATATATTACATATGTTTGAGACCCAAGGCTTTTACTCGACACTAATCTGTACTTGCTTTTCTTTTCTACAAAAACAGAAGCTTTGTGCCAGCCATCCCTTAGGCCCCTGGAGCATCAYACTTAGCAATATCCTGTTTTCTTTCCTCCACATTACTTTACTAATGACTATCAGGGAAGCCAACAATTACATGCCATTAAGCCAGTCCAACTAACTCTGATCAACTCAACCTTCAATAAATCGCCTGCATAAGAAAAAGAACTATTGATGCAGTGGTCCATCCACTCTGCTTACTTAACAGCAGATTTCTTGAAAAGGGGACTCCTAAATATCTATAAGTTCACACTACTTGAATGACACCTGGRTTGACAAAGACTTGACAAAGCTGTCCTGCTGTGCAGAGGCAAATAAGCCAGTGAAGAAGTTAACCTGTCAAAATTAACATAAAAAGTTCTCTACAAATTAGGAAGAATTTTTATTCCTGTTCACAGGTTTAGTTTTGGTAACCTTCTGCAGAAATTCACTTTTGTACATAACTTATTCTTATAACAATAAATTTTGCCTGTCACCCAAACAAATAAAGCTTTTTATTTCTAGTAGCTYACAATTTCCAGTGAAATTGAGACAGTTTTGTCACAGAAAGCCCATTTTATTATCAGGATTACTCTTCAATAGAAAGCCCCAGAATTAAAGTACATTCAGATCCTTTCAAAATGCGTATCTGAATTCAATAAACATTAGTTACTAGGCTGATGGCCTCCTAACTGAGATGCTTTTTGACAGTCTGCAATCAAGTCCTYACCAGAACCTTTGGTGTGAACCATAACATCCGGTATAAAATTTTTCAAGTCTTCCCTGGTGACCTGGGAACCTGACATTTTGCCTGTATATTCARGTCATTGAGTGATGAAGTGTGCCTCACCCCACCCATGCTGCTCACTCCCAAATCCTCTCATCCGGGTCTGATTGCCCAATGACTCTCCAGAGAGGCAGCCCAGCCCACAYCTCACCTTTTTGTCACTAGATGGCGATCCTTGATCTCGGAGCGCTCGAACCAGACATGAGGACAGGCCTTGACTGTGGCTCGTTGGATAACGCCCATCAGCCCACCGTGAACCTGGCCAACCTGCAAGTACAGCAAGGCACAYCAGTATCTGAGACACCAGAAAGGCAGAACTTCCTCTTTTCCATCCCWCCAAAAAAACTGAAACAAAACCCACACTAAAATGCACTGCAGACTGAAAACCAGAACTGAGCAGGGAMTACAGAAGCAAAAATGCATTCACTTGATCTAGACACTCACATAGAAGTGTATCTCAGGTACTTAACCCGATGAAGAGCCTACCATTGACACTGACAAGACAACTTCCCCCAACCTAGAGACAATCTTCAAGACAATTTACACTTTTCCTCACTGATTAGTGCTCACAGAAATGTCTCTACTGTAAAAGTTAAGTTCACAACCAATACCCCACGATCTTTCCTGCTCCCTCTGCTGTGGTCGTCATAGATCTCATACCATTGCATAGCATCCATCATTTGTCAAAATGATCGCATCTATCGGTGACGTGTGGTTGGCAACACAAATTCCTCCTTTCTGAGGTCTGTTTTCCCTGCAATCACATATTTTTTTTGTTAGACTGCTAGTGCACTGAGCACCACATTACACACACAACAGTTCCATGAAGCTGTCAGGCAAGTCAGTCTCTAGTGTGACATCAACTTGCAGCTCAGTAGCCCCCACTTCCARTGGGATGCTCACACACATATAAGCATACACACACTTTTGCTCACTCACTTGTTATGATAACGGATAGTACCAGACAGAGCTCTGACGAGGATGCGGGAGCACGTGAGGTGAACCACTTCACTCAGGTAGTTTTTCACACTGAAAGAAATCAGACATCTGAAGCATCCTGGAAAGCAGCTAGACATGTGTGCTGTATTCTCCAGCATACTCAACTCAAGGCTGTTTTTTTTCTGGTATTCTGGCGCACAGAGGGATATTCCCAGCTCTACCACTCGCTTGCTACAGCAGCTCAGCCAAGATACATCATACCCTTGGGATCAGTTAGCTAGGCAARGCTGTCCTCTCTTCAGTGGGTGTTTTTCATCCCAATACTATTACCTGCTCTACAACGCCCCCTGGARTACCTCATGTCAGCATGAGGAGCCCATCAGAAATCAATCTCAGTGCCAAGACTGGGAGGAACCCAACCTCTGCCCAAATTCAAAATGCCACTAAAAGAAAGGTAAAAGTAATCTTTGGGTGGAGTGGACTATCAGTAGTCCGTTGTAGGTAAAATGTGTCCACTCCTAATCTTCAGCTGTTTGCACTGATGCAACTTGGCGAGTACATCCCTCACATACAGTACTTACCTGCCGTTTGGCAGCTGTCCCACCATTGTTGTTCCCACAATCATTGACGTAATCCCAATGGTAGCAAGGGTAATGCTAGAGACAAAACAGATGTTAAAATAAGTAAGTTTGCTCATTGTAATAACACTTTCCCCCTTTCCATTTCAAAGSGTTTGCAGAAATTTAATTATTCCTCAGATACCTGACATATGCAGCTCTCTAACACAGTAATTCCTTGATCTATTGCTTAGAATCAGTGTATAGCAAAGGCACCAGATCCAGATACTCCCATGCATACAGTGGCAGAAGATTAAGAGCTCGTACGCCTCACTTTTATGTTGCCAACACATATGACTTAGGGGAAGCATTCATGGAAAAGATGACCACTAGCCCTACTCTACTCTCCATAGTGAATGGGGAAGATAAAAGTATTCTGAAGGGCTTCTTACCCTAAAAGGAGTCTTTAATCAGGTTAATATTCTATATCTGTCAGTCCTGCTTTTGGATTGAAGAAAGATGACATTTCACCAAGAAAACACAAATTTACCCATTCCCAGACWGACAAAATCCCTCAGCACCATGAGCTTACCGCAGGGGCAGCAGGAAGCAGTACCGCACTATCACCCCAATGACCCACACAATAGTCAGCCTCAGGCTAATGTAATGGAAGTTCACATTAGTCCTTGTGAGCAGATTCCAGGAAAGCAGCTCTTCGGAGGAAAACCGTTGAGTGACCTCATCTTCCACAATGGCCTCAAATCCTTTTCTGCAGAAGTAGAAAATGTGGGAGAATTCGAAGTCTGCTCGATGCAGGCGGGCAATTTCTACCTCCATAGGCGTTTCATCCCTTTCAATGATACCTTGGGAGAAAAGRGTAACCACATGAGAAAATAATTCTGTGATGTAATAGCCACCCTCCAGACCATTTGTAACTCTGCATTAGTCAAGGAGACAAATTTACTGTCAGAGCCCCTCCTCGGATATGAAGAGCAGCTGTCCAATCGAACACAGTATACTCTTTAGAAGGCCAGTTCCAGCTCCCCTTCCTCAGAGGAAGGAAGGGGAGCAGCMAATATACCAAATTGTTACATACTGAACACAAAGCAAGAAGGCAAACCATCTGGCATGTTCTCAACTCAAAACTTTATCCAGGACTCTCTCACCTTTACAGAAGAAACCACATAAGACCTTGGCCTTTCCATTCCCTTCTATGCTCCGTGTATTCAAGGGCATTCAATCTCCTTCACTGAGGCTTCCTTATTCCCCAAGCTCATGTCTTGTCTGACATTCTGTGTCCCATGGCCACAACACTGCCAAAGTCCCTGAACACAACACTGGGCATGAAGCAGCTTTGTACCAAACACAMCTCCCTGCCTTCACAGAACAAATATTTTTGGTAAGTACAGGATGACCACATGATTTTTAAATCAAACAAAGAAAAACCCTCCAAAACATCATATCAAAGAAAGTTGTGCCTAGAGGTGCCTTGATTTAGYTGAGCACTAACAACTGTTTCAGTTGAACTCTGCCTACATAATGCCTGGCAATAGAAGAGAAACCTAGACAGTTCAGAACTGCTGCGCAAACAGCAAATATTCTCTCTCCTCCACCTTTTTTATTTTTTAAGTTTGTGGTCTGATAAGCACAAATTTCTCATTAGAGCTTTCAAATTCAAGGAAAAATCTTGTAAGTTAAACAAAGATCAAGTAGCTGCTTGCTGGTAAGCAAGTCTGGCTCCAGAAACTGATGACTGAAGAAATCTAGAGTAACAGTTAACCAGAAAAACCATCCCCTGAGACACTCAACTTGGATTACAGAGGTCCAAGTTCAGGTTGCCACTCTGTCAGACACCCTCTGATAAATTGCACAATCTCTGTGCTTCTATGCTGAGATTAAAAAAAAAGGGGAAAGGACATAGCACCTAACTTCTTCAAGCTACTAAGAACTTTACACATTGTAGGATGTGTTTTTGTAGGAAATCTGCCTTCCAATGAAGTCTTGCCAGCATAAAATCTCTCAATATATTTCCTGTGGAAATCACATGTAACATTTMAATTACAAGTGATATAGAAAATCCTTTTATTGCACTATAGCATACATATGGGATAACACAGAAAGCTCCAAGATACAAGCCCCACAGACCACAGAGGTAAACACTCAAGAACACCAACATCTAAGAGGTGTTATAGTGCAACAAAACCTACTGGTACCTTCAGCTTTGAACCTGGCAACCACAACTTCCAACTGTACCAGAAGGCCACCTCACTGCATCATCCTATCACAAGCCTACAAACATAAACCCTTAATATGGCACGCTCAAAAACCCACAAGCCCTTCAGGATCTAAATTATACAAGCATGCATCACATCAAACCTTCACCAGGATGGACTACACTTATGTAACACATTAAACCCAAATCAGAGCTCTATTTTTTGATTCAATTTTTYTCTCAGTCAGAAAATTTCCAAACTGTGAAACATCCAGGACTGTAGACAAGTCAGTCCAACCTGTCTGCTCTGTGCTGCTGTAAACAGGTTGTAGGCAAGAAACCAGGGGAACTCTCCAGTGCCCATCACACACGTATSACTCTTCTCTCTATTCCCAGAGCTGGGAATGGTTCCTTCTTATCCAGCCCTTATCCTTCTGCCTTAYTCAGGAACAGTCAAACAGCTGGCTCACCTGGCCACAGCTTCTCAGCTGAAACCAGCCCAAGGGTTCAAGTTCATTCACGCTGCTAGCTAGCAGAGATAGCAGGGCTGTAATGTCTTGCCTCATCAGCCTGTCCTTGTCACATGACACCCTCATGCACCAGCTGTCCTGCAGCCTTGGGACAGCTACTCCAAGCCAAGATCTCAGCAGCACATTAAGGTATTATGAACAGAATTAAAACATGCTGCTCTGKTGATGTACTTAGCCCTCTTGTAATCACAAGTCACATTTAATGGCCTTTAATCCCTTGGCCATGGGAAGAGCTGAGCTTGCCAAAGACAGCACTATTCAGAAGTACAGCAAACATCACTCTCAACYAAAGAAAAAAGGCATCGTCACCGTTTTTCTCAATGGTGCAGCACAAGCCCCAAGCCTGCAAGCTCACAAACTCTGGTCAACTAATCATATCAGGCTCAAATTTGACACTACCTACTTACTATATAAGTAGATCTACTTAGTAGTATCTAGTAATTAGTTACTTAGCAGTATCTACTCACTGTGTAGGTACTACTAACATTATTTGCACAAGTTTTTCTTTTAGTGAATGTAGTTTTCAAAACTCTGACTTAGTTGCATTTTTGTCTTTTTTAAAYCCACCCATCTTGAAGACAACACAGCCAGCACCTACACAGAGAGCTGGTTACTCAGCTGCAATGAGACATCTACCCTCCAGGTACCTGCTCAGCCAAGAGCTACTGKGTCCAGCACACACTGCCCTCTAACAGAGAAGGGCCTGGAGGTCACAGCACCACATAATTCTCCATGCAACTGCACCAGACAACATATGTCTTGAAACTAYTCCTTATCACACCATCAATGCAGGGGCACCAGCCACCCTTTCTGCCAAGAGATGTGAAATACATTGGATTTGGCACTGCAGAGAAAGGTGGTGTCTCCTCAATCACAGCCACATGGCTTTTTGTTTGTTGGGTTTTTTTTATTGAGGGACACAATTTCAAGCTGTTTGGGGAGGACTATTTTTGCTCAAGGAACAAGAAAACTCACCCTTTACATAAATCTGCAGCGCCTCTCTCCTGTCCTGACCCACCTCCTAGTGATGGCTGGGTGGTCAGGAAAGACAKGAGAGGTGATACACACATCCTTTCAGCACTTACACACAAACATTTACCTTTACCCTGTTTTAATCAACTACTCTGTAATTCATTATCAACAGGAGTTTCTCCTCCTTCAGTAAATATTGCGTAATGCAATTGGGCCTCTCTGCTAATGCTCTGTCACCTCAGGGGACACCAACTTATATAATGCACTGTTAGACCTATACCTGCCCTGGCCCTCAAGTACTTTCCTCCAAATCCAGGAACTTCTAACCACAAGTCAGTTACTCCCATGCTTAAAAAATACTCAAGAGCAAGTTAACGGGGCACAACTTGGCACGGTAGTCTTCATGTCTCCCCATATTTTTTCAAGTAAGAAACAGTTAAGACTCCAGCTTCCTGCAGAAAGAGCTAGCTCCAGTGGAGAAAGGTTTTTAAAACTTTTTATTYCAGATATATAAAGGACATTAAAAAGAGCTTCAGGCTACCACTGTGATTGTGTATCCCCATCCATAACATCGTTTGAACATAGTAAAAATGGCCTGAGGTAATTCATATAGATGATAGCCTGCACACAATCTCTAATGCTCCTCCATACATGGAGTACACTCAAATGCAGATTCTGAACCACAACACATATTAACACTGTACACCCCTCAGCTGTACACAGGGGGAAGTGCTACTGTAGTTCTTTTGAAGGACAGCTCATAGAGCAGTCTACTAGCTGGGATCTCTCTTCACCTCTCCTTTCTTGAGGAGAAATAACCATGTGTAAGAATGACCAAAYRTCRTCTAGAAGGATGACAGKTCCTACTGTGCAGCTAAAGCAGCACAGTAGGGTCTCTTGCCCTCTCACTGGCCCATGACGTGATGGGGCACTGTCAGCCTTACAGGAAGAWACAGGATATCTTTCTGCATAACTGACAACTTGGGAAGCAGACAATATGGCACTGACATTAGCTGAAAGGACTGCTAACCTTGCCTGTCCTCCTTTCCTCCCAAAAGAACCCATGACTTTCAGGACACTGGTGAGCAATACAGGATGCACTTTTTCTCAGCCACTTTCAAGTCAACAATTAAATATGACAAATTTTAACCTGCTTTCAGAACTGCAGTACCTCCTGTTTATTATTCCAGGTGCTGAATGTTGCATCTGCTGCCACGAAAGCCAGTTCTATGCCTGGTCTGCAGATAGTGCATACCAGTGTTTGCAGTACTGATAAGGATATCCCTCTGGAGGTGAAACACACACAACCAGTTCAGCAATTCAGTCCCCATTACTGGATCATGTTCACATGAGCCAATTCATAGCTCGGGTAACAACTAACTTGTCTGTTAACTGGCAAGCTGAGCCAGCTTCCAGCTGTGCTGCCTAAGGAGRGAGCACACAGAAAATGCTCATGCTGTTGCCAAATGCTGTCAAAACAGAGTAATTGAATAGCAGCACAGACAGAAGCCAAGTGCTGGCTGCAATGCCTTGTTCAGGCTTCTCTTGCTTCCTGGGCAAACTGCTCTCACAGCTCCGAAGATTTGAAGCCACTCTGACCTACTACAGCCTACCACAACTCACATACAATATGAGTTAAGATATAGTAAAAGAACTAATTTCAAAATTAGGCTAAAGGAAGAAATATGAAGCAACTTTTCAGCTGTCTTTCTACAGATAGYGAGTGTAAGAAGTTTGGCAAACACTAATATTAACTCCAGAGGGTAAAAGGTCAATAGCAGYAGACTGAAAGAGACGAGTCCCACCACAAACTTGCAACTTGCAATCCTACCACAGAAAAAGCACTGAGCTTGGGAAAGAAAAGTGCTGTCCAATAAACATTCAGATCACTTCAGAGAATACTTAAGTGCACTCAAATGCTGTTAGAACTGAGATAAATGCCCAGCAACCCTGCAAGCGGCAACCTAAAGACAAATTTCAAGATGAAAATCAACCTCATATTTAAACTTGAAAATTTCTATCAACTAAAAACAGTCTCCATCTTAAGCTCTGCTTTGTTAAACATTTTATTTTATACCCTTCACTTCCTCATCCCCTGATTTTTCAATGGCTCAGTACAAGCTGGTAAAAGCAGCATTTTATTCTGTAGCAACTGTTTGCTAGCCAGTAGCACTGCAAAACAATTCAATATATCAGTGTGCTGGGTTTTGCTGGRKTAGAGTTAATTTTATTTAYAGTGGCTGATATGGGGCTGTGCTTTGGAYTTGTGCTGAACACAGRATTGACAATGTGGARATATTTTTGTTATTGCTGAGCAGGATTCACTCAGAGCCAGGGGTTTTCCTGTTTTTTGTATTGCCAGGCTGGTCAGGAAGCTGGGAATGCTTGGGAGAGTGGGAGGAGACACATCCTAGACAGATGACCCAAAGTGACCAAAGGGATACTCCAGACCATATGGCATTATGCTCAGGATATAAAGCAGGGGGAAGAAGGAGGAAAGGAGGACATTTGGAGTGATGATATWTGTGTTCCCAAATCAGTGTTACCCATGATGGGGGTTCTGCTCTCCTGAAGAAGGCTGAACATCTGCCTGCTCAAGGGAAGCAATGAATCAATTCCTTGTTTCCCTTTGCTTCTGTGTTTGGCTTCTGCTTTCCCTACTAAACTGCCTTTATGTCAACCCACAAGTTTGCAGGCTTTTATCCTTCTGATTCTCTCCCCAATCCTGCTGGGGCAGTGAATGAGCAGCTGCCTCAAGATAAACCATGACTTTTAGAGAGTATGCAAAACCCCACCTTTTTTCTTTTTTCTAGTTCTCTCATGCACACATCTCACTGCTGCATTTGAGAAGGCCTCAGCACTCCAACATCAGAACATCAGTCTTAACAATGTGACTTTACCCCAAGATCTCACCATTAGAAGTAGAAGTCTGTGACGTCTGCGGTTGTGGCTTTTTGACACCTTTTTGTAGCCGGGTAGTGGCCCACTGTGAAGCAGAAAGAAAACATTAATTGCATAAATGCAGTATTTACTTAAGAAAAAAAAGTCACCTAAAGAAAAAAACACAGTCAAAGACATGTTGTGATTGTCAAAGAATATCTTCRCCAGGTAATCATGAGTCATCTTCCTCAGATGTGTCCACAAACCCAAACCCATACACAGTTTTTATAAAGAAAYACAGAATAGTTAATAATAATTTTAAAAGCCAAACTAACATAACACTCAGTGCTAGTCCGTACTTCCCAACTCCACTTACAGCCTTCAGAGAGCCAGCTCAGTGCTCCACAGGTGTTTCAGTTCCACTTCAGACACACAGCCACCAAGAGCCTGGAAGGCCTCAGCCAACCCTGCTACTGGCACAGCAGCAATGAGATCAGGCTGCATGGAAAGCCCCAGGAGCTGAGCTAGACACAGGACACACAGCACGTGCTCACAAAGCTGACAGACACATTACAACCCAGCCTGTCTTCTTCCAGAGTAGTTTCATCATACTGAAGCAAAAAAAAAAAAAAATGTCCAAACTGGGTTAAGTGAAACTAATTTCACTTAACACAGCTGATTTCACTAAGAACCAAAACCAGCATTTGTAGTCGTAAGAAGTTTCAATTAAATTCAGATTCAATCCAAAAASGATTGCACGCTAGAATTTTCCAAGCTGAACAAACCTGATATTTCCCTTGACTCTGTACCTGCTCGTTTCTTGGCACTTTCATAGAATCACAACATGGTTTSGGTTGGAAAGGATCTTAGAGATCACCTACTCCCAACTCTCTGTCAGRAACAGGTCCCAGCCCTTCTACCAGATCAGGCTGCTCACAGCCACATCCAGTCTGGTCTTCAACACCTCCAGGRATGGAGAACCCACAGCTTCTCTGTGCAACCTGATCCAGTTGCCTTCTCTTCTCCAGGTTGAACAATCCCAACTCTTTCAGCTCTCATTTTGGAGCTCTGAGCACCAGAAAAATAGGCCAAATCACCAGCTTTAGGGTGAGCTACAGAGAGCTCTTTYCCCTGCCCTTGGCAAGGGCTGCCAGCTCACTGGTGTTAACCTGCTCTTTTCCAGTGGGTGGTCTGAGAATGGGACTGAAATAGGTCATAAAGCAARCTCTGCTCTCCAGTGAGTGCCAAAGCTTCCCAGCTGCCCTGGCTCCTGCAAAAGCCCCTGGCAGAACCACATCAGAGTCAGGAGATTTCCTCTAATTTTCAGCCCTCATGAGGCTGGAGCCAGTTTAACTTGTTCTCAGGACAGAAGGCTTTCTTGACCTCCATCTGACTCGGTTCCAGAGAGCTTTTATATAGCCCTCTATCTCAGGCTTCATTTTTACTGGGTTAACAATTATAATCCTTTTTCCATCCCAAAGTCTGAGTTGTCAGAGTAGCCCTTCCGGCCTGAATCCTTCCTTTCCCTCACAGCAGCTTTGTCAAGGGGTGGAAAGCTCAGTCACAGAAGGCTGACTCTGTGGCTCATTATGCGCATCAATTCCTCCTCCACAAGATTCTWTTCTATTTCTAGGAACACTGTTATAATGTGCATTTTCAAGAYAGACAGGTGACCTGGCAGAAATTAGCTCATATCCAGCACATATCAAGAAATCAGGAGATTATCCTGACCAAATCATAATAGCTTAATCAGTATCAAAGGCATTTTTAAGATCATACAGGTGATGCTTGGTCTGTTCACRAAGGACCCAGACCCATGCTGAACCATGGATTTTCCACTTCTCCCCTCCAAATGCGCTGTGGGACACATGGAGATGCAGTTCCCTCTTGAAAGGTCAGCRCCCTGACTCATGGTGTTATCTGCATCAAAAGACTTCCTAGTATGAGCCAGTACTGCTTATTGCTTCAGGTCTTGCTAAATCACATCCTACCCTGCCAATACAGTCACTCATTTTCTCAGTTCTGCTGCTGCTAAGGCAATAGCTCTTCCAGGAGTTAACTGCAACAGTAGGAATAACTCAGTACTTTCTGWAGTACTCAAGTACATTCAGTAACTTTTTGGCTACACGTCATTCTCAGCAGTGCTGCAACCATAAAAGTTCTGGGAAATACCAAACCAAAATACTGCTCAAGGAAGAGCCTATTCAGTGCACYGTCATTTTACATTTTGTCTATGAAATGGATTTGGGGGTGCAGAGGGACCAGCAAATGSATTTACACAACTATTTCTGACCAGACTTGAACCACTGCATTCAAAGAATTGAAATCTCCACAAACAACTAAGTCACTTATCACACAGAAGAACAAAAAAATTTTTGGCCGCTACCAGAGAAAATAAATTTTCATCTTTTAAATCCTCTCAAAGGGGTAATCAAAACCTCAAAGAACACTTTGTTTGTTACTCAGAAAGAGTATGCAACACTCCTTTCACAAAGCTCTTGCTACAGAAATCCTGCAGTTATGGRTTCATGCTAGACTGTGTCAAAGCCTGAGCCTCAGAACAAACCATGAGGACACAGGTTATTGAGACATGCCTTTGTAATGCCCAAAACCTTGCAACATCCTCCTGTACTGCAGTATCTTTTTACATTTTGCTACACAAAGGAGGCAGTGGAATCTTCCCAAAGCAGAGAAATTGCAGCGTCATGGAACTCAAATGCAATTATCAACCCTATTCAGAAAAGCACATTCCTTTTTCCTAATTGCTCTGACCTTTGCTCCTTGGGTTCATCTAACYCCAGAAAGGTGCAGCAGCCTACCTGGGGGATGGGGGAACAGTGGTAAAGAGACTGGAGAGTACAATTCCCTTTGCCCTCTACCCATGCCTTCCCAGGAGATGGAAGCACTGCCACGAGCCTGACACCAGCGTGGCAGTGTGTACAAAGGTTGAACAGAGTGTTCCAGGGGACAGCTGACTTGTGCTCCACAAGTCAATGGCTGAGGCAGTTTTACTTTCCATGCCAGGTCTCACAGAGGATTTAAGCACATTTAATAAAATAAGCAATGATAAGACCAGCTCTCCCTCTTAGTCAGGAGCCTTTGGGTATTCCTAAGGACCCACATCTACCAGATGCCACAGCAAACAAGTTCTCTATATCAGCTTTCTTCTTACCTCAACAAATCATATTTCCAAAAACTATTGCATGTYCCAGCAACCAAGGAGCAAGAAATAAGAAATTTTTACTTAACATCTAGTTCTTTCACATATACCCATACTCCTGAAATAAAAACTCTATCATCAAAGCCAAAATCTGAACACTGATCAAGCAAAAAGCTTGTTTATATCCAGGATGGGAAACACAAAAGAYACCACACAGAAACGTGAGTAATTTCCTTTCCTTCCTGCTAGCCACGGACATGAGCAATCCATTGCTGTTTCAGCTGGTTCCTATGCTAAAGAACAACTTCATGCTACAAGAAGCTATCACAATGTGAGCTGATCCATCCCACAGGGAGTAAATAATCTGTGTATTAGAGATCAAAGCAYGAAACAATGATAAGCCATAGCCTCCATTCTACTCAGAAAAATGACCAAAAAGCAGGCTGGCAAGCCTTTTGGATCCTTCAGTAACACTGACACAAATCTAAGTGGCTTCTCCCGGGTGGTGTTGAGCTGGAAGTCCCAAAGACCTTGGTGCAGACCTATGTTTTCAGTAGGTATTCTTGAAGCAGCTTTGGAGAATAAGTATAAAACACCAGACTCYTGAACAGATTAAAAACAGTTTTGCAGTTGGGACTACCCATTGGACCAAAAATATAAAGTTAGAAAACTGCACGATCCCAGAACTACAAACATCACCATAAGCCTGATTTTGAAAATTTAATATTCTGTTTACAAGAAAGTAGCTCGGATGCTTTAGTCACACAATGTAAAATTTGAAGATTCAACACTTTACTAGGCAAGGAAAACATCAACTTTCTCTGAAAAGGTCTCCCTTCTCATCCTCCTAGAAAAGGTCTCTAATTTATCAGCACCTTAGAAAACAACCAAAATGGCCAAAAGATCAATTTCACGCATCACTACATAATTGCCACACATAGAGGACTTATGCAGTACTTGAGACAGATAATTTATTTGGCAACTGTCTTTTCTGGACTTAGGAAGGGCTTTTGATCTCTCTTGCAAATAATGTGTGATTTTTGCCTGAGATCTCAGTATCRCCAGAGCCAAGCTTAACATGTTTCATGAAAGCACATCTTAACATTCTTTGCTGGGATCTAAAGTCAAGTTTTATTAGGAATATTATTTTATTGGGAATATTTCAGAGTGTAGCCCTGTTCCCTTAAGAAATGGCACTTAGCCTTTCACCTCATTTACCATCTTTACATCACCTCTGACTCAATAGCAATCTTTGACAATTTTTCAGAAGGGAGAAATTACTGAAATCTGCAATCTTATGGAGACAGGCCACTGGTGTTCCTCTTCAAAAGGCACTGCCAGATCAGAACCAGAAGTTTATATGCTAGTTCAGGTTGGCACTCCCCCTTGGAATCTCTCCAAACCGCAATAACAACAAAGATTTCAGAGCACCTCCCACAYAATGCCACCTTCTTTAACACAGCAAAATCTGTATGCCAGTTATTGGGCTGTACTGTGTGAGGCAAGAACACCACCACCACCAAGAGGGGCAATCATTTCCAAATGARGGCAAAAGRTCCTCTMATCWCCCATGCACTTCTCATTCTGATGGRACACCCTTGGCACTGCCTCCAAGAACCTTTCCAAATTCTTCTGCACACARGAGTTGCATTCTGGACAGGTATTCAAAGAGCAAAAATGAGTCCAGCTTTACAGGATAACAGCAATGGCATCAGSAAAAAGAATGCCAAGCAGCTTCACAAACTCTTACTTCAAGACAAGCTCTGAATACAGCTGCTGTTACTTTTTTAACAGCATTTTCTTAAGTGTTCACATGYTGTAAAATTGAGAGCAGTTTCAGATAAGAGTTGTTGACTTGGAATATGGTACGTTAATTACTGCCACAGCAAAGGGCAACCCCAGCACTGCCAAACTTACTGGGGTGCAAGGACCCTCGATTTTTAAATCTGTGGTAAACATACATAAAGGTCTTCAAAGGACTGGGGTCTAGGTTAATACAGGCCAAGGATTTGCTTCAAGATTCTGCATAAAATCTACTAAAATTCTATTTCAAAAGTCAGTCTGAGCCCTGTAAACAAGAATGCATCATTCACATGAGGCATGTCTCCAAGACATACTTCTCATTACCATCTGAGCTGGCAGCTTGCAGAGCTCTTGGATTCTCCTCTGCCCAGCAGTCCTTGAAGGATACCAATTACACAGACAGAGGCCTTCATTGACTCTGTGCAATGACATTAGTCAGCAAAGCTGGTGCTGAGGCCAGTGAGTCACAGAAGGAGCAGTCAAAGCCCACAATGATTCATCTATTTATCAGCTTACATCTTCTCCTTTTCCCTTCCCCGCCCTCATACCTGGCACCACACACAATCCTGATGGTGACTCACGGGAAGAAGCTGCTGCCTGGCATACCTAGGACAGGAGTAACAGTTCATCCCTGCCCTGCACAGCCACAATCTCCRGTTTAACCAGAGGCACTGAGAGATCCATCTTTCCCCCCAGGTATATATATAATTTCTCACATCTARCTCCATTCATATTGCCAAGGTCATCTGCAACACAAGGAATTGGGGYGTATGCTCCAGCTACAGAACAATGTTACACCTTTGTCTAGCACAAGTACATTACAGGCAGTGTAATAAATGATCAGAAATTGCTTCTGTTACATGAGGTCGCTATTAGGCCCCAAAAGATCAGTTACAGGACGTGAAAAACGCCTACAAATGCAACATCYGATGTGCATTATAGCCAGCAAAAGGAACCACACAAGAAGTGTCCTCTCTGCTCACTGCAAGGCCCCACAAAGAGCCGAGAGAGACTGGGGAGTGCACTCAAAGTGCCTGCAGTCATCAACAAACCATTAGTCCAGAAATAGAAAATAAAGYATGTTAGTTAATAGCCAGGTTGTTTGTTTCCTGACACAAATGTGACCTAAAGACCTCACTTCCCTCAGGCTTTCTTGTTTCTTAATATTTCACAAGTATTATGAACTGCACAGCTTAAAAAACACAAGAAATGTTTCCCATTAGAAAGGGCAAGTGGGGCAGTCTGTACAAGTGTTGCTGACAACTCTACTGTCTCAGGTAACAATGCACACCCAAAAAAAMCTCCCAGAAATCTGGGAAAAGAAAACCAAAGTATTTAACAATGTGAGCTGCAATCCACCAAGTACAGATCATCACTCAGKGTTTCATTGCTATTGCCAAATATATAGACACAGGGCAAACCAGTCCTCCAGATCTTCTACAATTTGATGGAAATAGAGCAGCCACTGTCACAAGGGAGCAGTTTCTCTAGAGCCTCAAGGAAAGAAAATGGACTTTCTGAAAGGCTGCGTTTTTCCAGTGTTTGGCAAGACAGCTCCAATGGCATGTTTGTAGGGGACTCGGCAGCCCCAAATYATATTAAAAGTTCATAAGAGGCAATGGATTAAGACAGAGAAAAAATGAGACCAAGAGGTGTCTAGCACCAAATGTGCTAAATACAAAATTGGAAGCTATCTGCTGATGAAAAACAAACAGGGAGAAATGCAGCATGCTGTGATGACTGCACTAGGCAGTCCCCAGCATTYCAGCAGTAGGGAATATCCCTGTGGCAAGTGATTTCACAAGCATCAGGACGGCAGGTGACTAGCCCAGACTGGCTCCTAACAGCTGTTGGAGATGTTTCTGCAGCAGAACTCCCACGTGTTAAAAAACCATGCTAACACGGTGCCAGAAATCCTTCTATTAACACTGAAAGGAAAGCACRGGCACAAATGAGCAACCTCCTAAAAGTTTGCTGAGTTTGGTAAGGTAATTCAGAAGCAAGTTAATGTACTTTCAGGAACACCCACATGATGAGGGAAGGAGGCTTTCTAATAGCAAGTGATCTGTCTGCTGTACTTCCTTTCTCTAGCACAGTTTTCTACATCTTTTCTCCTTATCACATGGAAAAAAACCACAGTCACATAGGGAAAAATATACCCATATACTTCATATAAAACTGGTAATCCCTGGTGCAGAGCTTAAGAGTCAAGTGCAACCCAACAGAAGCACATGCTCCTCTGTGCACGTTGCATTTTGCTTAGCAGCATGTGCCTTGTTGAAGCAGTTCAGCAGAGAGAAAAAGCTATTGTGCACTAACTGATATCCCTTGTCAGATGGTCGAAGTACAAAAACACTTTGTTCCTAAAAAGAGCTTTCCCCTCCCTCTCCTCCAATCATGCTTGCAGCACCAGGAACGAGCTTCTGCCCTCCTGAAACAAGCAGAAGATTTTTTTTTTTAATTGGCAGGAAGAAATTCAAGCACAAGCCTGCCATCATTTCTAACTTGCTCCATCCCACAGCTTACACAACAACTGAACACCACAGACTCATTCTTGGATGTCTTGTTTTATCTGACATGACCTGAAGAGGTATCACAGCAAACTGTAGAATGACAKTTCAGGGACACTGTTCATGTCCCTGAACTATGGACAGACTTGGACCCTCAGAACAGAATAGCTTTAATAAAGTACATGTTGCTAYCTGACAACATAGGCAATGAAGGAAACAAACCACAGTCACTGTGTCCTCCCACTATGCCAACATACAGGATATAAACAGGCAAAGACCGGGAGCCTGTATCAGCTGGGATGTACAAACAGCCACCACTTTGCAGATAGTTCCTGCCCATCTGGCCCATCAAAGAGGCAACAAAAGCAGCAGAACCCTGACTGAACACTCCATAGGTCCAAAAGCCCACCCTCCTCCTGGGAAACAGGGAAAAAGGCCTGGGAGATTCAGGGCTGGGAGCGGAAGAGAAATCTTAAGGAAGYTGTTAACACTATGCTGAAAAAGGTCTCAGCCATCAGAGACTGCAGCATCCTGTGACTTCACAAAGACAAAAACTTCTCAGGAGAAAATGTGCTCTCTCATTTCAACATCCCAGGAAGCCTCAGACAACCAGCTAGCAGTACTTTTCACTGTTAACATGATTTTGGCAGCATCATGTATCTTCAAATGTTCTTGCAGGCTCTGCTTGGACCTGACTGGCAGACAATCTGCCTCTGTCACACTTCTAACCATGACAGACCTGTGGGCCAAGAAAGAAGAGACATCCCACAACAAACCTTTTCCCTTCAGGGATTATCCCCATGCAAGTATTCCAAGGAAACTAATTCATAGGCAAAGCAAGGCCAAGTTGAGATAACCAGAATACCTGGATGAATTGAGCTTCTTCACTCACCCAAAGCAAGTCCAACTCAGCTGTCTCTTCTCCTCAGAACACTTTTCAATTTTTCATTGCCTTTCCTTTTATACATACAATATTTTATACCATATCTATGTTTAATATAATTGATGTATTAATATAATCTTTAGTATATTGAGCAGCATGCAATTCCAGAAAGTATTTAGTGCAAAAGTAATGGCAGCTCTCAAGACAAGTCACTATTTCCTCCCTTAGGCAACAGGAGAGCTCTTGCAATTAAMCATCGTCGATATGCCATCAGATACTTCTCCATAATTTTGCCCATTTTGAGTCATCTCTTGTCATAACATTTGATGATACTAAAAATAATGATTAATGATCTAGGAATAAAGAATGCAAATTGTGGTTATTCACAGGTGATGGCAAGTCATACAAACAAGACTATCTCTCTAGGCCATCTGGATTGCTCCCTCAGGCCAGGGTGACCTTCACCTCCTTAGCTTCTGCTATTCAAAATCTTTTTTTCCAGTAAAAACTGAATCTTTTTTCCCTTAAAGTTATCCTGATACCATTCACAGTCCCAAAAAGTACTTCGGAGCGGATTCATTCTCACCCTTAAAGTTTAAAATACCGGTAAACCCTTAAAACATTTTAAACTGAGATGCATTTAACAGCTGCTGATTTAATAAGTGGCTTTTTTTTTAGCCAGACACTAAGTACATTAAGAAGGCTTGCCTGAAAACCTCGAAGAACAAGATGAAATTAGACAAAATCTACTTCCCGTAGTCACAGACTGATGTATATTGCACGGCCACTGACTGTGCTGTGAGTCATTTCACTTTTCCTCCTCACAGCTGTTTCCTTSGTTTGGGAGCCCCTCCTCCTTGGAAAAATCATAGTAAATATTTAAACCTGATCATGTCCACCAGGAATTTAAAAATACTTTTCCTCACCACTACTATGAGCTTCAGAGAGAGGGTTTTCACACACGTATTAAATATGCCTCATGTGGAAAGCAGCTCCTCTGCGAGAAACTGGATATCCCGGAGAATTTAGGGGCAGATGGCAACTGAGGGGCTGGACATSCTCAGCTTGGATGGGAGTCCATGCCTGTGAGCATCAGCACTCCTGGCACTTCTTTGAGAGTTACCAGGCCGGGTACCAGACCTTTACACCCTGCGAGGGCATGACCGGGCATCATTTCCCCAGGTGGGGCACAGCTGCCACCGAGCAGCGACGGCCTCGCCCAGGCCACGGTACAGCCTTAGGTAACGAGGTTTATTCCGCTCTCTTGCGGATTCGGGGAGCGCACTCCAGCGCCTACAGAACCACAACATTAACACAGACCTCCAGCAGTGCCCGAGGGCCTTAAGCCCGAAGCTACAGCCGGGCACAGCTGATGCCAGGCAGGACGTGATCCAGCCGCTCTCCTCTACAGGAGGAGACAGATGGGGCCGACCCTCCCCGGGGATATCCACCCCCACACATCCCCCGGCCGCAGCGAGCCGRGCTCCCCTCAGCCCGGGGGAAGCGAGCGAGGCCCAGCCCCACACGGGACACAGCGCCGGGGACACCCCGCCACCCCTCCCGGAGCCCCCGCCTACCTCCAGCGTCTTCACCAGCACCCACATATAGGCCTCGGAGATGCCCAGAGAGATGCCCAGCGCTGAGGGCACCACGATGAGCCCCAGCATCACGGCCACACACAGGGCGCCCACCTGCCCCGCCGCACTCACGACCTCCATGGCGGCCGGGGCCGCACGACGCCAGCGCCGGCAGCGGGGACCGAGCGGCACCGCCTCCCGCCCGCCCTAAAGGCCCTCGGCCGGCCCGCCCCGCTCCGCCCCCGATCCGCCCCGCCTCGGGGCCGCGGGGATCCTGTGCCCGCTGCCTTGCTGGGAGGGGCTGCTCGGTGCGGGTCTGGAAGCTGGTGTGCTTCAGGAGAGGATGCTCGCGGGGCGGGAAGCAGCTAAACCCGGGTTTAGAGAACGGCACGGAAAGCTCCCGGTGCGGGAGGAAACGGCTCCAACGGGTGCGGGCGGGAGCGCCTCACGGCTGCAGCGTGGGCTGGAAAGCTGTAGGAAACCCGAARAGAGCAGCTGGGGACCAAAAGTGAAAAGTGGGGAGAGCTCGTGGGTGTATGAATGTCAAAGAGGACAAGGACAGCGAAAGGAGGGAAAGGGGGCAAGGTCTGCACTGGTCCGCCTGTGTTGTCTCTCTGGGAAGAAGGATCCACTGAGGGTCCGGCCCCCCTCCGGCATCAGGCCCGCTCCGAGAGAAACCAAATTTGGTGGAAAGCGGCTAGAGGAGAGTGTGCCTGYCCCGGCTGTGCCATTCAGCCCTACAGCCCCCGAAGTGACACAATCCATACCAACAAAGCCGCGTTAGCAGAAAGGGGCTGAAGAGGGATGGCAGCCTTGACAAAGCATCCCCGGGGAAGCGATTAACATCCTCTCCCGAGAAAAAGGCAGTCAGCATATTTTCTGCTTGCATCTTTCATAACTGTTTCACAGAAATGGGGTGTTTAGTTTGCCTCTTCACATTCGAGAGATCAGAAATACATCTGAGAGCCAAGTGCTTAGGATCCAAGGAAAAACCTGAATTAGAGTCCAAGGCTTAAAGAACTATTTCCAGGAGAGTCATGTGGACAAGGGTGTTGCTTTCTGGCTTCTATTTTTGTATCTTCTCCCACTCTTTGCCTCATCTGGCTAAATAATTTCTCTGAGGCAGAGGCAGCATGATGATCCCTGATGAAGCCTCTAGACACAGCAATCACAATTGTCCAGCTAGAACTGACATTGCCAAACAGCACTTCAGTGTCTTCTTTCTTCTGAGTGTTTAGTTATGATCATGCCCAAAAGGCCCAGTTAGGATGAAAGCAATAACCTGCCAGTGTCATACACATGGTAATAAAGAGTCCTTACTAAATGCATTGCAAGTGGGCTTTAAATAGTACAAGGGTGTGTGGATCCAAGTCAATTGAAAATGCCGAAAGCCCAGAACAGAAACAAATCAAAAGAATATTACTTTTCAAACTGGCTGATATTCTCAAMACACCTATGGGTAACTTCYTTTAAATTTGTAATTTGTCTGTTGYTTCCCAAGCAGAAAGWGWTACAGGTTTTTTTAGTACTTGCTTCTGRATTTTCATCTGGGGTGCAAATGGCAGAGGCCAAAGGCTTGGTCGGTTCTTTTTTGTCTGGCATTAAGGAACAAAAGTTTTCATGCAAAGGACAGATGTAGCCCAAATAGCAACAGTGGATGCTGTATAGATCCTGAGAAAAACAGTATAGTGATCACAGTAATGGGTCATACAGCTTTGATTCTCTGTGACATTTCAGTACCTTCATTTARATAGCAACAACTAAAATTGCCCTCTGAAGCAAGAATTGCAATAAATATAATCCTGTGCAAGGCAAAGTGTTGCCTTGTGTGTTTGTTGAGAAAATAAACCCTGAAAACTGAAAATAATTTGGCTTAGTCCATGTGCTTGTTAATTTGTGCTTCGGTGAAATGGCACAGTGTATGTCAAATTTGAYAGCATGTGGCAAATTCCTGAGTCTCAGAGGGCTGAAATCCATCAGGGTACTTGGAGMAACAAAAGAAGGTTCTGGAGACCTCTACTTGTAATATTCATTGCATGAAATTAAGGCATTGCTTTTTTTTTGCTGCAATAGGCTGGCTATTGARCCTGCTGGCACTGTCCRCAGGCTYCATAAACAAAGAGTAGGAAGGGAGCAGTCTCTACCAACGTTTGTGTTTTAGGAGCAGGGGAAGGTGGCTGTTTTGACCCCTGCTCTCACTACACCAGTGGGGAAAAAGCACTGGTGAAAATGTATTGTAACAGTTTCAGGCACAGGCAGCCATCCTGCGTGAGCTGAACAGGACCAGCACAGAAAAACAAACTCTTACTTTATTGCATCCAGGCTTGCCSTCCATGCTTGTATGAATAATTCACAAAGCCATTAATCTTAAATTGGAAAAAAAAAAATTCTTTTATTGAGTTGCTTGAAAAACCACCTTCTCTGCCTGGTACAKCAGGGAAGAAACTTGCCTGCTCATCCAACAGCCTCCTGGTGACACAGCTGCTGGCAAAGACGTGTCATGACTGTGCTGAAGTTCAGCCTTTGCACAGATCTTGCACTCCCATTAAAGAATAGCTGACTGCTAGCTGCAAAAACTGATGACTTATTTAAAAAAAAACAAAAACAACAAACCAACTTGCTCTCTTTACTAAGTGGCCTTTGCCTTTTATAGATAAAGCTGCTATAAACTGCTGATCACCTATCTGCTGATAATTTAGTTTCAAATTAATTACATCATTGCATTTTATTTGTTTGCATTGTAATCTGTGAGGGCATATAATTTCTCTGCCTCACTTTTACCATTGAGCCCATTTTCCTAAGAGAGGAGTACTTTTTTTTTGTTCAAGCACTAAGACTATACTTTCAATATGGGTAAGACAGCATGATTCAATKGAAGACACAGAAGGAGTTCCAGTTTTAACAATTTTCCATGCTTTCATTTTTTCAAGGCCTATTTTGTGTAGAAAGGCTACAGTTAGTCATGTTTTTTAATGGAGTGTTTTCCAGGAAAAAAAAAATCCCATGAGAATATACCAGAGTTGCTATACTTGGAAGAAAACTTTTTTATGTATCCTTATTTTTCAATTTATTTCACAAAGTACAGTGCATACAAAAAATGCTTTGGTTGAAGTGGTATGTTTCAAGTYTACCTAAACCAGGTGCTCCAAATGGATATAAAAAGTTGKGGTTTTTTYACCTYKGTGAKAAGTTACCAAGATTATTAATTTATGTCTTATTAACACTARCAAGAAAGTATTTTTATGTTTGTAGCAAGAATAATTTTTTTGTCTAAATACATGTATCTGTGTGATGTAACACATGATTTTAAYGGGGGTTGGATTGAATCAAAGACTGATCCTTTTCCTCTGTCTTAGTACAACGCTTTTCCAAATGTTTTTTGTCAGGTGTTTGTTTGTTTTGCCATACTTATTTTGCCCCCCCTAATTATCAGCACCTCTCAAGTTTTGGTGGAAYGAAACATGGCTGCACACTTGGTTTCCAGGATGGGGGAAATCTTGTTAAACTAACATGGAGCTCATGTGGAGGTCCCAGTCTCTCTTTGCTAAGTTATTGCATTTCTTATTGGCTTTTGGTGGGTCAGATCTAATAAAAAGTAGCATTTCATTTGTCTCCTGTCACTGGAGCTGGGCAGCTTCAGAATATCAGTTTCCTCTTATGTAAATATCAGTATTTTATTGGAAATAAATAGGGTCAGGGTGGTTATCCTAGTGCTCCCTTTTATCTTCTGCTGTTCAGGAATGGCACGTAGCCAGCAAACCACTCAGGGGAATTCTGCACTCTCTTGTCTGTCTTCTGGCTGCAAGCAGGTCATGCTTTCTCTCTACCACTGTATTTGCCATAACTCACTGTAAAAATTGATACCTTTTATACAAGGAGTCAGATGTTTTCAGCTTCACTCTGTATCCTAAGTGGAATTTTACTGTCTGCTGTCACAGACTTCCAATTCTTATAAGACTGAAAATAAAGTAATTTGGCTTCCACACAGTCTTTGAGCCTGGCAGTGTGCACTAATAGAGCTGCAGTCATGTTTGTTTTCTCYAGCAAGAACAAGAGCTTATAGGCACTGTGCATTTCATCAACACAGCACCYAGCCATGCCCCACCTCAAGCAATTTCATTTCCATAATCTGGAAATTTATGTTTCTAGGAATTCAGCAATCCACCTACTATTAAAACCAACCAGCCAAGCAGACATGCTAGAATTTGTGACAYCAACACAAGGAGCAGGCCACAAGGGTGGCACCTCCTTTGGCTATTGACCATGACCTGGCAGCCTGGATTTCTACTGCMTTTGGAGAGAAGAAACAGAGAAAGGAAAAACATGCAATTATTATTACAGAGCTCCATGAACTCTTTAATGATTGAAACTTCCAGGTTAACAAAACTACCACTTAAAAAGAAACTGTCTTTTTCTGTTCATGCTGGGATTTTAAGGAAGGATGAAACACACTGATAGCCAGTAAATTATTCTGCCGTTGCATCTTGGTTTGTTTGTTTTCTTTGAGTGTTATTAAAGCTTGTACTTCCCAAAAGAGCTTTAATAATGTCCYAGTCCTCATGGCAGCTTAGACACACATACAGGGGTGCCACCTCCTGGTCCTGCCATGCAATGGAATCCATGAGCGCGGTGCACTCGCCCCGTGTCACACAGACACTACAACATGCGAAGAATAACTTAAAAGCCCAAATGTTGTAAGACAGCATCTGGATAGAAATCAGCCTCATCTCAAATCTAACAGGAATGTAATTTCTATGTCGTTATCTCTCTTTCTAATCCCTTGTAGGTGGAGTTCAGAGAATTACATTGATAAAACACAAGACCATGGGTTTTTGAAGTATATCATACTTCAATTACTCGATTGAATGCATGTAAATATATCTTATTTAAAGTGATAAAATATATGAGAAAAGGAGACTTTACATAGGCATATATGATGAGCATTTTAAAAAAAATCTATCATGTCATTGATAAACACAGTATTTAATGCATGAACTAATGAATGCTTAAAAAATAGGCTGTTTAACAGATGTCTGTATAAATGTAAAAGATATTTAGTAATAACTATCCCTTATAAAAAGAAATAAACCCTTCCAAATTATTTAATAACCTACTTCTTAAAAGTTTGATATGCAAGGTTGTTGTACTTTCCCCAGTATCACTCTGGTTAATATCCACAGTTTAGATATTACACATCTTTCACYACATGCATCTTTCATACAGTCAAATAGAAATACCAAGGGGTATCAACTGATGTCAATAATCCACAACTGCACACAAATCATGACTACTGATTAGTAAAGCAATTATCATATTAAAAGAGTTCAACAGGGCTCAACATASTGTAAAATTAGAAATCAGTCAATACCATGGCCATTATATAGAATAGCATTGATTGGATGTACTAAACGTGAGCCTTGATGACAATTGATCACAATGAACTCTGCTCACAGAGAAGTCTGGTACATTAATTGAGGGGACAACCTTAAATAGAATAATAAATAGAGGAAGAGGGGAGAGRAGAAATGGCTACAAAGCTAAGGTTCCTCCATGTGTGCAACAAAACAATAAAAAACCTAAGAGCCAGGAAGGCCTTTGTCTCTGCTGGATGCCCATTAACTTCCGAGCCTCCTTTTCCAACAGCAAACGAACCTGTGAACTCCTCACAGGTCATCTCCACAATTTGTGCCACAGCTGGGAAACCTGCTCAAAAGAGCCTGAGCACCTGAGCAGAAACATTTCCAAAAGCAAATCCCACAAAGAGGCTAGAAACTCCAGAGGTTTCATCTGTGACATGTGAYCAGCCTCCATTGGTCTGCTTAAAATCAGACCTCAGAGAGCACATGTAAGCAAAATATGTTCCTCAGAGTGCCTTGAGGCTAAAATCAAACACCAGGCACCAGGTGAGGAGCTGTCCAGGCTGCTTTTCTTGGTTTTGKTCWGGGCAAGCTACACATGGAAGAGTTTGAGTGAAACCCTGCATTGTTAAATTTGGCACTAACTGCTGTTCTCACTMTTGTTCAGGGTAATGCATGCTGGTAGTAAACAAGGTCAGAACATCCCTCTTATTATGCTGAAAACTTGTTTTCTTCTGAAAGTATCCCCAGTCCCAGACCAAGAGCATACAGCATTAGGAAGAAACTCATCACAGCAAATGTAAATGGACTGCCTACGGGATCATCCCAGGTTTGYCACCTCTACTGAGTTTAAAATGAAAATAAAAGCTCAGGGGTTAGATCCCTACCTGACTTTGAATGAACTAAAGAATAGAAGTAGTTCTTATTTTGGCTTGTCACAGGAAAGAGATGGACTGGAGAAACCCCACACAGCACCGGCTGCTGAAATTTCAAGTAAGTACAAGTTTTGCTGGTGGTAAACCACGACCAATATTTAAAAATCCAGGGTTTGGGGCATGCAACATTATTTCTACGTTTTCATGGTTTCCTGAAAACGGGAGAGCGAGCTGTGCAAGGCAGTTTGCTACCAACGACTGGATGCCACCAGATGGCCCCCGTTGTACATCTCTTCTAAATGCTCGGCGGTGCRGTCACAGGAATGCACTTTGAACCGACGGCGAGCTGGGAAAAATCGGTGACGAGCATTTCAAACTTTCCCAAATGCAAGACACAGCGGTAGAAAAAGACATTTGGAGCCAAYGGAATAAAGGATTTGAGCTACAGCAATCAGTCTTAACATGCAGGTATGTTACAGTGAAAGATTGTTATAAAAATGAGCACATTGCCTGAGCTTCTTGAAGGATCTAAAGGAGGAGTTATTTTAATATATCTGTTTTTCCATCSACACAGCTGTTCAAACAGTGATGTCTTCAAGACTTAGAAGCAGCAGCTATTTTCATTCTCTGCCTCACCCACATAGCRAGAGTTATTTTACTCATTCATTCCAACCTACATTTATTTTCAACTCGTGGCTCTTTTCCTTATTCAGCTCAAGTTTGGGATGAATGCACCCAGGACCGCTGAGGTTTGTTTCAGTTTTCTGGTGCATTAGTGCCACAGCAACAGTTGGCATCACTTACATGCTTCATACATGAGTACCAGCCAGCAGCACCAAATTGTAAAGCAAGGCCACCTACAGGCCTTCCCTGCTTAGTCCTTCCCTGGTTAGTCGTATCATATTTAATTTGGAGATTAGGTCATCCAGTCAATTAAAAGAACAAGGCTCCTCGGTTAAGGAGCAGAAGASCAAGTACATTAAATGGTAAACAACAGAGGAATTTTGTGCTCTCAGGGAAGACAGCTCACAGGCTTGTCCAAGATAATGATACATCTTGTCTATGTTGTTTGCACAGCTATCAGCTAGTAAATAAATTTAAAAAACAAAACAACCAAAACCCGTTACTTCTAATGACAGGTTTTTTAAATCTTTTTTTCTTGATTGGCTTTTTTTGTGCATTGATTGTTTGATCCACCCAAATAATACTCTGCTTGCTTCCTTTTAAGCCTATTATTTGGTACAAACGAGCACAAACATGTTGCATTTGATCCTGCAAAGGTACATGGTAAAAAAGAGAGCTTTAATAGTTTAGAAGCCTGGTTCCTGCAAGAACAGTGGAAGATWAGAGGAAGAGTAACATAAGTGTGAGTTCCTTGATTGTGAAAAATAAGCTGTTTGTCAGCTTCCCTCTCACATGCTGTCATGAGAACATGTTCTTTTTACTKTTACCGTGCCCTCCTGCTAGAGGARGAAGACACACTTATCTATGGAGTCCTTCTGGATAATAATTCCTCCATAACCTTGGCACTCTAAGGGCACTATACAATTTCAGGTAAAAGCAATTGCCAAGGCCACTGCTGATGTATTCTGTACTTCATTTGCATTTCAACAGAATAGAAAGGAGGAGGTGGAGGTGGAGGAGGGGGGGGAGAAAATAACACTGAAAATCAGAAACGTTTCTTTAAAGCAGAGCAAGACAAAGTAGTCTCTATTTCGAGCCAGGCTGTCATTTTTACCAGCAGCTAACAAAGTACACTTCACTCATCATTGACAAGTTCTTGGGTTCACCACTTGTTTTACATTTCCCCATTCTATATGTAAGTAACCACTTCTAAGAATTTTCAGCTTTTTTTTTGCCAAAAAATGGCAGAGAGAATACTGACGATCCCACCAACCTGTCACAGATGATATGTAATACTCATACATTCAGAGGTACGAGCTTTACTTTTACACAACTGGGAGTCATAACCATAATGAGCATCACACATCCCAAAGCTCCTCTTGATGAGCTGGAGAAATGTTGCAGGACAGGACATTTCCAACAGTTGTTCTTTATCTCCTCCTATCTCTTTATCTTTCCTGTATCTGGCCCATCTTTTTGCCTATTCAGTCTCCCATTTTACCTCTGAGCAGGAAGAAAGCACATAGTAGTGTGGGAAGGATGTTCCCARCCCTTGTCTTACTGCAGTCTCTGTCAGAAACTCTCAGAAATCAGACACACAGAAGGAAAGTCTCCCAGTTTGAAACTGGCATGCTGAAGACATTTGAGAATTATCAGGATTGTCAATCACATTTCTCCACATTTTTATACCTAGAAAATAAATAAATCAACAGCTTAARCAGCCATGGAAGCACATCTTATCACAGTTCGGAGCAAGCAGATTTGTTCCATAGCAGGAAAGCCTGAGGCAATTTTCCTTACTGCTGGCATTCTCCTTGCCTGGGGGGCTAAAAGCTGTGCAGAAGGGTAGATTCTCCTACTTCCTACCCATGATACCAACACTTGGACTGACTGATCCACTAAAGGAGCTCACATACCTGTAGCAATGCCAGGCCTGGCCACAGAAGAGGAGAGCTCAGTTCTATGCAGCCTCAAGACTGTTACCACTTCTGTTAGCCCCCCCACTGGAGTTTTCTAAACTATCCAGGGCTGGGCAGAGTTGTATCTGTGCATTTGTCCCTCTGTAGGGTGTATTTGTGCTCACCAAGACTGATCCTGTCTTTTCTGAGACTTCAGCCAATGGGCTGCTGTCATGCAAACATTATTAACTTTATTAAACATTACTATTAACTTTATTAAATATTATTATTAACCAACATCTGTCTTAAGAGCACCTTGGCCAAAACAGCACCTATTTGTGTGTGTTTCATTAAGGGCATTCAGATCGCTAAATGAGTCAGATCCTTCCATATGGGAGCTACTTACCAGGAGAACAAATATTTTACACCAATAAATACTATGGGAGATGTAGGAATAATAATACTATAAATAAATACTACAGGAGATATAGGAAATATTCCAATCACCTACTTCTTAAGTGCAATACTTCTTACTTGCTCTATTTATTCCTGGAGGGTGGGCTTGTCAGATCCTTAGCCTCATATCCAGTGGTAACACAAGCAGGTGGCTATCCAGAAATAACAGCAACAGAGGACAGTGGATGTCACATCACAGGTTTTCTTTAATTTGTGTAATGCAAACAAACAGACACAGAAAGGGATGTAACAAAACCACAAGATATAATTTAAAAACACAGTATATTTTCTATTACACTGTACTTGGCTGTGACTAATTTATCTCAGCTTGACACACCCAACATCAGGGACATGCTGCCCTGGATACTGTTCTGCTCTGACAAAGAGCAGAAAACTTTCTACCATGCCATCCCTGGGTCTTSTCACACGGAGGGGAAAGTCAGCACCTGCCTTTTTCCCTCTAACATCCAGCATTTCCTGTCCAACATCCAATTAAAAAAACATAYTTTGGTGAACTGCTTCATGTCTTCTGACATCAGGAGGTCTGCCTCTAGAGCCACATGGTTACTGTGGCTCACAGGAATACTGCTAGTCCAAATCACTGAGAAAGTCTAGCAGTACAGAGGTGTTTTATTACAAGTAACCATTTCAGAACTCAAAGCATTGCAAATATTTTTAAATGGTATTTTAATGAACATAATTAATTTTATTGTAGATTCTTCTCAGCATTGGGGAGAATTTTATTACCATATTGTATGTTTTACTATTTGCATAATTATAGTACTTCACATTAAATAAGGTTATCTCTTCATGGTTTCCCTGCTGTGTCACATGCAAAATATCTTACAGGGACAGAAGGAAAACATGTTTGGTTYAATCTAAAACCAGTCTGTTTTCTGGTAGAGGTAAGTAATGGAAAAATGAGATAAAATAAATAGCATTTAACAAACATTTCCATTTCCCACAAATTCATTTTSTATTACTATCTGGCAATATTTTTTCTGTTGCTCTTCCTTGAAAGACTCTTTGACCTTTTTCCTTTTCAGTCCCCCATCCCTGAAAGATAGAGAAAAAAAACAGCCTTAAGCTCACTTCAGGGTCAAGGCAGAAAAACATTACTATATTTAGACTTTGTAGTCAAAGCAGTTTCCACTCTTAATGCTGACTTTTGTAAGACAATGCTAAGTGATTTATACTGCTAAGACTTATCACACAACATGCCCTTCTTTTAACCCAGCATTTAACAGGCAAATAATTAATCTTCCCCTAATACTGCCTGCTGTCTAGATCTACCTGYCAGCTCTGTTTCTCTCTAGAGACTATATTATTCTAATTATTCTAATGGAATCRTTCAAGTAATAAAGTAATATTTTCTGATTCAGAGTCACCAAGAGTGATGGACTACAGTGCAAACAAAGCAAGTATTAAAGGATTTCATGCTAATGCTTCAGAATACAGAACRCCTAAATATGCTTTAAACCCGATTCCAGAGGTGTTGCTTCTTACCAAGGAAGCATAGACATTCCTGCCCGAGCAGCAATGACAGCCTTGACTCTGTCAGCAAAGTGAACAGCATCTTCTTCTTCCTGAAAAAAATATATGAATGAATTGCTTTACAACATAAACATTTTCTCTGTGCCTCACCTAAAGAGATAGGTTTTGTCAGAYGGCAGGCACTGGGGTTTATTTCAGACCCACAAGCCAAATGTGATCTGCGTGGCAGTTTCAGCTGATCCTGATTTGCCAGTATTTGGTGCCAGAAAGAACTAAATGGGAGGCTCTCTGGGTACTGGGGCAATCTCAAACACCACATAGCCTGAGTTCCCAGGTCTGGCCAGAGCAGGGGATGCATCCCACATAAATCCACATTCTCTTAATTTTAAGACTATAGTGGTGCTTCTTGGCCTTTTTCCATTAAGTTATCAATGAAGATTCACAAGCACCTTGTGTAGTAACCCAGACATCCTTCCAGGCAACATTTCACAAGCACTTTCAAAAAATACAAAAGCATAAGAACCTCTTTGACCATYGGTGGCAGGTACCACACATTGCAGACAATAGCCCAGCTGGTCAACACATTAAAAGCATAGGTCATCATGGAATGCTTCATGCTGTTCCAGAAGGCATCTCCAAAACGGGGGTCATACTGGAAGACAAGAGGAATAAACTGTCTTAGTTTAAATCACATAAGCTGCTTTTTTTTTAAGGCCAAAAAGTCACAATTTATCTTCTTAAATAAGGGGCAAATCTAATCCCACCTCCTAAAAGCATCAGCAAATTCAGGGTAAAGCTCCAACATTTATTAAAAGTTTTAACTGTTAGCTTTTACAAGCAATGCATGACCCCGAATGGTGACAGACCTGTTGAAACACRACTTTTGCAAAAGATTCACTCAAAATGTAAAATCTTGTCATCTACAAATATGGTGACTAGAAAGGTTTCCTTGAAAATGCTCACACCAGTTTTAACAGCTTCCATAAGATCAGGCAACATTATAGTTCCAGAAAAAGTATCTGGATCTAGGGTGACTTGGCTAAAGCTACTCAGAAAGACTTGGARGTGCCAAGAAAACTGCCTTTATCCTCAGAGCACACAAAAGCCAGGAGCCCTAGGACAGAAATGAAACATTTTCCATACTTCTAAAAACACAAAAAGTTTCTCTGGGCTTTTTCAGTACTTTATTCACACCAAACACACCCATATTCAAGGTTTACATATGAATAGCTTCTCTGACATGAGAAGGTTTTCCAAAGAATCCTTTCGTGTTGGTAAAACTGCAGTYACAGTACCTTGATTGCTACTGGATGGATGGTCCCTCCTACCTCAAAGCTTCCCTTCTTGAACATCATTACTGATGTGTTGTTAATGCAGGTACCTGGTCAAAATCAAAGCAGATGAAGGGCTTAATCCACTCTGAGAAAAGTGTTAGGAATGAATTGTAAACTCTCTTTAGGAGACTTAGTTGCCAAAGGAGAAAGTAAGCTTTAGTTCTGGAACATAATGCCAGAGCCTTGTATGTCTTCATTGTGTTATATGCTAAAGCAAATAAACTGTCATAAAACTGTTGTAAAATACTAGAATCTGACTTTTAATATCTCATAAGAGTTAATTACTTCTACAAAACAAACACCTCACTTGCAAAGACTGGATGTAATAAACTGCACTCAATGTCAAGAAGTGAGAAGAACAATAAAATCAATGTAGTTGTTTCYTACCTTCTGGGAAAATTAAAATGGGTAACTTGGCCTTATCTGCAATATGTTCTCTAATTCTGTGGAGAGAAAATGAAATTTCAGTGTATACTTCATATTTGTCCAAGAATCTAAACCTCCATTACCTCTCACACAGGACAAAAGCCCTTGCCCAATTGCCCTTTGCAGGTCAGTAGCCTCAGCTGGGATATGTGCTGGTTTCAGGCCTTTATTTCAGAATCTCTTGCTAATTAAATAAGTAGATTTTCTACAAAACTCTATGAAGTTTCATTTTACCATTTTAACCAGAGAATAGTAGTACATGAAGCATGTGAAAATAACTTCCCAGACTCCAGCTATGCATGCAGTCAAACTTCTTTAAACCAAAACCTATTCCAAATTTCTARTTTCCATGCCTTCTAGGTTTATCAGTTTTATGTGTATCTAATGATTCKCCACATCTAGTTAAGTGACAGACCACTATCTCACTACATTTGCTGCATCACTTRAAACCACAAGTATCACCACTAAGCAGGTTACTGACACCAAAATCTGTTATTTTCCAAGACAACTGTCTTTCCAATTACTCAGGAGCGTGGAGCTCCTCTCCAGGCTGCATAGTCTCATAAAAACACAAATCCAAAAGATCCGATTTCTGCCACCCACCCTGCCCGCCTCAAAAAAAGACAACTGATGACAAAAAATGACAACACTGATGACAAATYATCACACCTGACCAGACAATGAAGCGAACACCTCACTACCTTACTTTTTCCTCACCAGGTGACGGTCTTTCATTTCTGAGCGTTCAAACACGACATGCTGAGAAGTTTGCATACAGCATTTTTGAATAAGTCCCATAAGCCCTCCATGTACCTGGCTAACCTGTAAGCCCAAAAGAAACTTGTTACAAAGCAGACACACACACACACACACACACTTAAATGATAAAATTCTAAGCACAGATGCAGCCGTTACTAAGCTAATTGACAAATTATACCAATCCTCTTGGTCATAAATGTGCACGTCTGGTTTTTTTCCAGTGAGTTTGAATGTGAGTTTGAATGCTCTCAAATCCCAGTCTTTCTACCAGGAAGTTTATCCTCTTACCCAACACTACATCTGCRGGCATAACAACATTTCTGATATTTACCAATTGTCTTGTTCATACCAAGGAATAGCATTGATCACTGGTCAGGATTAGGACATCCAATGGAGACGTGTGGTTGGCTACACAGATGCATCCTTCCTGTGGTTTGTTTTCCCTGCAATGGCRACCATAGAAGTTATTAGTTAGAGTTTATTATCCAGACTACAGGTGGCAAACACTGAAAAATATCTAAGTGTCTRGTTAACCAAGTTAGCAGTACTACATCATCTACACACACCCTGCCAACACACAACAGGAAACACAGCAGGGCATGAACACATCCTGGCAGAGTCTAAGTGATCCATGCAGCTTTTTGGATCTAAATGTACCAGTAATGGAATAAGGATCCTGATCCAAAACTTGAGATGTTAATACTGCAAGAAACCAGTTCCAGACTAACAAGAGCAGGATGTTATCACTCACCTGTTGTGGAAATGAACAAGGCCAGTCAGACATCGGACACCTAAGGTGGCACAWATCATCTGGACCTGGCTGCTCAGCCAGCCTTTAACTCTAAAAGAAATGAAGCCATAGATCCATTTCCAGTTCTGTGGAGTCACATATAGGACAATGCAATGTAAACTCTCTGAATTATCCCCAATTGCTGTTACTACAAAAATCRTACCAAGGCTCACACTGCATGTCTGCTTTCAGATGCCAATGCCATAACTATCTTTCACAGCACTCTGTAAGTTTACAGGAGAGAAAAAGTCATCCCATGATAGTCCACATTAATCTTCTGGACTCAAGCAGTGTGTTCCAAGTACCAGTTCAAATCCTTAAAGAAATAAAGAAGTGAAAGAGYCCTTAGCAAACACTTACCTGCCATTTGGAAACTGTCCTACTACTGCACTGGCCAGCACCAGCAACAGGATGCTGAAAACAGACAAGCAGATGCTGCAAAGTAAAATAATCTTAATTAAATGCCAAGAAGTAAATCCAAAGAAGTAAGAAGGTATTTTTATTTGGCCTTTTGATCCATTTCACAATGCTTCCTTSCAGCAATAATAGCATCTAACTAGCAACTTACCACGATTTAACTAGCATWCAAACCACTTAATCCAGCCTTTCTGGGTTTTAAAAACAGAGTAATTACTAATAAAATAAATTGCTAATAAAACATATGGAACATGATAAATTTCCTTTTTTTTTTTTTTCTTTTTATGGAGATATTTGAGTTTAGATGGCGTCTGGGAAAAGTCATTCCAGGTTCTCCCTCCTGCACTAGCCAATAGGATATTATTTCACAATTTCTGCAGAAACTAGCACAAAAAATGATCCCAACAAACTCCACCTGGCTCACCGGAAAGGCAGCAGGAGGCAATACCGAATTAGGATGCCAGTGATCCACACAGCAGCCAGTTTCCAGCTGGCATGATGCAGGTTGGCATTAGTTCTGCTGAGGAGATTCCAGGACAACAGCTCCTCGGAGGAGAACCGTCGAGTGACTTCATCTTCTGCAACTGCCTCACAGCCCTTCTTGGAGAAGTACATGACATCAGCAAGGCTGAAGCACCCTTGGCACCGGCCAGCAATCTCCTCTTCCATGGAGGTCTCATCTCTCTGGATGATCCCTGCATGAGGAAATGAGCCTTCCTTCCACACAGTGAAATGAACAATATGGATTCCAAAGAGAGTAAAATACATGTGCTTTTTAGAAATAGCTCTCCTCCTACTCAGGCACCATAATGGCGTATTTAGGCCTCATTTATGTACTGACAGTTCATTCCACAAATTACTTCTCTAATCCTACRCTATATAACCCCCCTAAGTTGCTGAGGAAGGAGAAAAGGTTTCAGATCAAGCTGCAAATAAAACCTTGATCACAGCACTTATTTCACTGTCATTTACCAAACAACATAGGTATTCACACCTAGAAATGTCACCAGTACACTGCCAAGATGGCAGACAACCTCCTGGTGCCCTGACTCAAATTCAAGCAGAGCTTGTATGATTGCTATTCTTGCTGCTGTTGATTAGTATTATTGTTTCCCAGCTGTAACAAACACCTTCCTCTGGGATTTATTTTCCTTGGAACCTTCCGCCTTCCCCCATCCCTTTTTCTTCAAGACTCATTTCGCTACCAAGAAACGTGAAAGTGTCTAGATTTTCTCCCCAGCCATACACAGCATTATATGGATACATTGTGCAGAAAGAATGACAACACATTCTTGCTCTGCTGTTTGTAAAATTACACTCCAYAGGACAGTCACACAGCAAGTCTCAGTCATGTTTGCTGAGGTCACTCTGAGACCAGATTGTTATCTGTCTGGTTACAGTGACTAAAGTTCTTTTGATTATTTTGATGATTTTTTTTTGAGAGGGTGTATTGCATGACATTAAAATTTGCATTATAAAAATATACTTAATTTATCTYGATCAACATACTGCCTCCTCATCAGAATCACAAAACTTTCCTCCAGCTGCATTTCAGTCAAGCCTTCAACACYCAGGAAATCATTAGCTGACAAACTAAGCAGCCCATGTGATTAATGACTAAAAGGCACTACAAGTAAAAGGRTGACTATGAGAACTTAGCCCACTCCCCTTTCATCAAAGAAGAAGGGAAAAATAGTTGGGGGAAAATAATTATTTGGATTTTATCCTCATGCCTAGAGAGGAGGGCAGATCATAACACTGTGATCCATGGCATGCTGTAATTCTTACTTGAGAGTCTCTGCATCTTTTGAATGCTAGGAGTCACAAGATTAAAAGATAACCATGCAGAGGCGTGTCAAGCACAAAGAACACTCATTCCTCCCAGTGCTGTAAAGAGAGAGCTGATGGAGCCAGAAAGCACAAAATGCTTATGAAAACAGGGACAACTTCCTACATGCTTATTAGCAATGTCTTTTTATACCCACACTAGTCTCTAACTTCTTTTATTCACAAGGCTCAATCATTCAGAGATTATTTGCTTATAACATGCTTTTGTAGGTTTGTAACTTCAACAGATATTTGCCCATCAAATGCTTTTCTAAGTGCTTTTCTATGTTAAATAGTTGCCTTTTTACAAGATGAATAGTGCCACGTCCCCTTCATGCAGAGAGCTTACCAGTGGAGATTAGGTTTTCGAGTGGCAGTGCCTTCCTCTTTTTTACTCCCTCCTCAATCTGCAGGGTAGCCCACTGTTCCCAAAACAAGAAAAGTAGATGTTGATGCTTTTCATTTCATCATTTCCARACATTCTGTAATTACCTCAGGTGAACTGTGTGAACCTCTTTAACCCCCTTCTGATCTAAAATGTTCATTTTTCAAATTCAACCTGGAGGCTGTCCTGCACGCCTCCTGTTTCATTTGTTACATAGACTTTTCTTTTTCCATTTCCAGGAAAAATCATTTGGCTCAAACTTCTTTTTAGGATGCAGGCAGTTGTTTTTCTTCTGGGAGTCCAACAAAGTACTGAGCTACCTATGAGACTCAATGAGATCCAATGTGTCCAAAACTATTTCTTCTCCAATTAGAATCAGGCAATAGGATTAGGCAAAATAATATCACTGACATTAGAGATATACCAGAAAAATAGATCTAAAAAATTGAATTTAAAGAATAAAAGAGATTACCTCATTTTAAGGGCTTTCAAGTTGTCTCTGTTGACAGAAAACAGGTGCCAATATTTTGTATCCACAGTATTTCAGGAGCAGCTTTGGTAATGAGGTTTCACCCTTCCCTGTCTTCACCTTTTTGAGCTAAACTAAGTTTCTCCTCCCTGTGCAGAGCACAAACCCTCCATTARCAAAATCAAATCTACCAATATGCCTAATTTTTGAAGTTTTCCTAATTTTGAATGTTTCCATCAAATAGACATACAAATAGTAACTCCTGTAAGTACTAAATCCGCCTGTATTTATGTCACAGTACGTGCCCTAACAAAGAGAGCGTAGGCTCTGCTCATTACCAAAGGCTCAGTGACCCACTCAGTTTATGCCTTCACCTGCTATTAAGGCTTCACATCTGCACCAGATAAGGATAATCCATCTSCTTCGTGTATGTATTTCCCTCTTACTGACATGTGCAGCCATTTAAGCCAACACAAAGYTTATCTCAAAGAGTCTTCACTACATTACAACATGTCTCATGTGAAAATATCAACCAGCTTTTAGCCGCCCTTAAGTTTTGCATGCTCTCTACCAGCTCTTTCTGTAGCTGTTAAAGTTAAGTCAGTAACAAAATGGAYACTTTCCCTTTACATAATTAGGATATCTAAGTTACCCTTAGCTGACCTTTTTTTTTTACCAGCCACTATAAAAAAAAAGAAAGCAGTGAAAGTAGAATAGGCTTTGATGTGGTATTTTAAACTCCAGGCAAACCACCTTTTATAACATCATAAAGCAAACAATCCCCCCCAAAAAAAAGAAATTAAAAACCCCACACCACAGACCTTCATCTTGCCTATACTTCCCAATTATTCTCCTGACAAGGTCAACAGGTACATCATCTCTCTCAATCTTTTGCAACACATGGAGAGTCATTCAGAATTGTGGAGCCAGGGGATGTCATGAAAACAGCAGCCCACACACTGAGAAATGAAAGAACATACAGAACAGGTGCAGGAACGTTGCAAAAGAGAGTAAAGGCAGACGTGGCAAATTTAATCTCTTTACAAAATACTGCTGGTCTTCATCCCTTCCCAATATCCTTTAGGATATTTGCATGGCACAAGGGAGGAAAAACCATAAAAATCACTGAGATMAAAAAAATATTAAACATTGCCTTAGTCTCTGCTTCCCTGTCTCCTGTCTCACATCTTTATCTTGCCTATCATTGTCCTACATAAAAAAGCACCTGTCAGCTGGCCAGCACTGCCAGAAAAGAGCTTGCTCATACTGTCCTGAAGGACTTGGAATACCTCCAGGAGGCTGGCTTTTGATTCCCAGACAGAAAAAGGGTGATAATCACTGACTAAACTGACTCCAAAAATACYTGTTAACTAATCTAAAAGAGCAAGACAAGTCAAAGCCAACAAAAATGTATAAAGCTTACTAGTAAATTACAAAATCTTGCCTCCTAGAAGGGGGACGAGTGAGGCAAAAGTGGCAGTGTGAGCAAATAGCCAAGGCTACAAAGACAGTGGCCAAGGAAGGTGAGGAAGAGCTTTCAAAGGCTGAACAGCTACACAGAGCTTGTTAGATTGGAAAAGCGCTGGCCGAGATTGGTTAAAAAGACATCTACAAAGTCTGGGCTGGCACAGAGCAGGTGCTTAAGGAACAGTTATCCATTTTCTCTTTTACTGCAGGAACTGAGGTTTGCCGTGGGAAAGCTTTGGGCAGAGTGTATGAGCAAGGAAAAGGCAAGAAATTTCCRCAACCATCACRGAACATGAAATTCTGCTAACTCATGGGTTGGCCTTGGAGGCTGACACACAAGGAGTGAGGAGGGAATGCAGCTTATTGTCACCCAGGTCTTTGGCTTTCAATCAAGCCATTGAACTGACACTTGTCAAAGCCATCTGTCTGGATCAAATTCTGGACTAATTAACTGTGGAGTAGCTATGGTGCTGTTCTGCATTTTACATACAGTAGCACCTGTATGTAAAATTTGTTTTTAAAAGTGAAATAAGGCTTTGTGATTACCTTTGTATTGCACAGTATTGAGACAGAGCTGTCACGCTGGTCTTTGTTGCAAAACAGTAATGAAAGGATGTTTTAAATACCTTACAAAAAAAAAAAACATAGATGTTGCAACTAACAGAATTTGAGTATTAAATGTAGCAACTTCATTCCTACATTTGCTGACTGAATGAGAACTCAGGTGCTGTGCTTTCCTCACCCCCATTGCTGAAGTGATGAGGACTCAGGCAGTCCAAACATCCAGTGGTTGATCCCAGCTGGAATACTGAAGACTTGACAGCTTAACTCCAACAGTCCATTTGTTTGATGTAATGTAATTACATTCTAAACAAATTAAGGGTGCCCAATACTTCATTATATTAATTACTGTCTTCATAGGACATGACATGAAATACAAARYACAATGTGGAATGYCATTTCCTGAAATCTCATTTCTTGCAGGTTTTTTCCTCGCTTGTCCCTTTTAAGTAGAGCTCAGTACACCATTTTTCCATACTATGTAATAACTCAGTTTTGCCTCTCTTCCCATATTTTACTACCTCTTATTCCAYGTTCTCATAATGGTTTTTCTAATCACTCATTATGTGAACTTTTCTCAATCTTTTCCTCATGTCTGACAAGATTTTGGGGCAATTCCTCTATGCAAAATCTTCCACCACAATGGCAAAGAGAAGGTTGGTACGTTTTCAGCACAAACTAAAATCACCATCTAAGATCAAGCATTTGTGACAGCTTCATCCAACAGTCCTTTTCTGCCTGGCCTCATTTCCCCTTGCCCATTACAAACATGAAYCCAGATCAAATGATCTGAGTGTTACACTTAGTGTCTGAGAGGATGTGACTGTCCACCCTAAGACTGTGAAAAGGACTCACAAATCTCCTGGCTGCTCTGTGAGGGCTGATGAAATGGATTGAGAAGAGCTTGTTTGGGATAAAAACACAGGTATAATTTTTTGGGGTTGTGATGCAGAGGCTAGCTTTCAAAAACCATGTATTTGAAAGCACAGCAGTGCACTTTTTCCCCAGCTGAAGTGTCTGCAACATCTGCCATGCCCCAGTAGGAGTTTACAGCATATGAGCTACCTCTGTGTAGAAGTGAGCTCTCAACTGAAAAACTATTCACAATGTTTAGCTGGGTAATTTCTTCTTCTCAATAAGCAAAAATGCTCCAGTTTCATACATAAGTTCAGATCTCATAAAACTTCAGAATATTCCTTAACAAATAGAGTTGCAGCTGTTTAACATGTTTCTTTGACTCTTCACAGGGCTGTGAGAGCGTGGTGTAGATTTCATCCTAGCAAATGCATTTTCTTTTGCAACAGCGGGAATAATGTCCCTAGCACAACTTTACTACTATATTCATCTCCAACAAATCCCAGTACAGACAAAGCTCAGAGAAAAAAACATTATTTACAAATAAAAGTTTACAAGCATAAGTGAAAGAATAACCCAAAAAAAACCCCAAACCACATTCAYCTTTTTCATTTCTAGATATATTTGAAGGACAAATTAAAGATAATAATAGTTATTATGGGCTAACAGATACGCAATTATGGAATTACTGTATTGGAGATTCTTTTGCTATTACATTTTCCATATGTCCTCAAAAAACCCAGAAAAAACCAATTATACATTACYAAACAAAAATTACATTTCCAGCTTAGCTATCCAGAAAGGCATCCTATTTCACCATTCCAGATGACAATAGGAACCACGGATGGTCTCTGTGCATTATCCCATTAGCAATATCTCAGGAAGAAAACACCACAGCTAGAAACCAGTCAACACTTCTCTAGGCTTTCAATGTCAGGTTGTTCRTATCTCAAATATATGCTATTATAGCCTGATTAGCTCTAAAGCTGCYTGTATTCCCCAATGCCATTCTGGCCATATTCTGGTGGATGAGCCCCAAGACTCCAAGAATAGGCCCGGCACTTCCATGCACAAGTTTTAACCCAGCATGTCCCAGTCCTACCCTTGCTTCCAAAGAGCCCAGCGGGTCACGACACAGACAAAGGGTTCCTAACATTCTCTCCATTCTCCATTCCCCAAGTAAGATARTTACTCTTGGGGCACAATGAGAAACATTTGACAATACTTTAAAGAAAACCCCTGGAATTAATTGTAAGATGAAAACAGAGGAAACTCCCCTTTTTATCCACATGACAATTAGGGGAAAACTTTGAACTAAAGAACAAAAGGAGCCAGTCTGAACAGCAGTGTATGGAGCTGTGCTGTTCTTGTTAGCTGCTGTGGCAACAGGGAACTAGACACAACAGGCTATAGCTGATCACGTAACAATTAACTTATCTATTTTTCAATACATAGATCCTCCACACTGTGAACAGAATAATCATGCTCATAACCTGTTATGAAAACAGGAGAGAAAAATATTTAATGTGCTTTACAAAAGAGAAGTGCCYTTCTACATAAGACACACACTGCATGAGTCAAATCTCTCTTGAAGTTGGGAAACGCACAGGGCGAAAAAAATACAGAAATTATTTTAAACCCCACCAACTRCAGCAGCAAAGCTGTCCAAAGACAGGTTTGATATAAGAGTAGCTCTTAATTAAGGTACCAATAAAATTATCAATTAATTAGCATACACTGGCTGATTTAAAAAAAACCTTTCACATATAAAGGCCAATATTACATGCAGCCACTGCAGGCAGTCATTGCCTATGACATCAGTATCTGAAAAATAAGAAACCCCTAAATTTTGCTGTCATGGGCTCTATGCTAAATGGTKTTCATACAGCTGAAAACAGATACTGCCCAAGAGATCTTAATCAGCATTAAACAAAACAAACAACATCCGCCACACCTACAAACAAACAAACAAAAAAACACAAACAACAACAGAAGAGAATTATAAGAAGAATAAAAGACAGAATTGGCCAGGTAAAATGGTCATGATATTAACTGCATCACACTGTTGCAACATGTTCTACTGCAAAACAGATAATTCCAAGAGCTTAATAATAATAGCAATAATAATAGTAACATGTTTTCTGTAGTAGGAAGTATATTCACAGAGAGCAGGTTTATGCCAGAAGCACAAAGTTACTCTACTGGAAAATGGAAACTGTTCAATATGATGAATTCACAGTACCTACTTCTGGCTAATGATGGATATCAAAAGTCAAACTTGAAAAAATTAAATGGAATTATGGTTTATGAAAAGCCCCAGAAACCTTTTACTGGTAGAAGCAGAATCAGACTCTTAACCATGATCTGTTTACTTCTAGAAAAATAAAATTTTAGAAGGTTGAACAGATTACTCAAGTCTTGTATGGCAGAATCTGTAACTGCTGGATGCCCCAGATTTATATCTGGGTGAAGCAAACACACAGAGTCGGGATTCTTGCTGAGAATATTAATCCCATAGAGTTAAAATAATCCAAATAAATCCACTGRAACTTATATACATCTAAAATACATGTTTTTATTACTTACCAACTCCCACAAACTAATAGATCTTTTTCATTATACTTGATTTGCCTTGGGTATTCTACCCGCATGAAGCATTCTAACCAGCATGAGTTAGAAGCAAATGTCATGGAATCTCTAACCCCAAAAAACCTCTAAACAGTAACAGAYTGTAAGACAGCACATAACTAGATATCATTAAAGACACCCCTCAAAGGACTATCACATAAACTAAAGCTGCAAACAACACAAGTTAATGGATTTTTTTCTGCTGCATTTTACAGCATCTCTGTCAAATGTACAGATTTTGATTTTTTTATTAAACATGTCCTGTAGCAAACACATACCTTTTGAACCCAATTGTCAACTTACCTCTAATGTTTTTATTACAATTTTCACATAAAAATGAGAAATCCCCAGTGACACTCGAAACACCGAAGGCAACAAAACTAATGCCACAAACAAAAGCATCCAGACAGATAAAATCTCGCCTTCTGTAAGGCCATGGCCCTCTCTATTTTCTTCCATGTTTGCTCCTCCAAAATGCCAACCAGCTGCCTTCCTGAGAATATATGTTCATCTGTAGTGGAGAATCTAGCAAGTTTCAAGAGAAGGTAAATAAAAACCACACATTCTAAGAGCCAAAGCTGTCTCCAGGAGAAGGCTGTTGCTCACTGAAGACTGACACTACTGATACTCTCAATGATAAGGTAATTTCTATCCTTTATCCCGCCCTAGCTCCGCCCACTTCYTTGTAATTGATGAGCATTTACTCACCAGGGCAGAAGAAAGAAAAAACATGATAAGTAATAATATATGTCAGATAATTAGATGCTGCCAATAAGGAACCTTGTCAATGTGACAACTGGTTTTCACAAGGTGTCCTGCCAATAAATTACAGTACAGACTAGGTGGGTGTGTTTTTCAGACTGCCTAAAATCTTTTCTTCTACATCTTATTGATACACATGAAACACTTCTTCAACTGACATTTGCACAAATTTATGACTTATTCAGTCAGACTTTCTCTTTCATGGTGAGATAAGTGCCTTGTTTATGTATTTGACCAAAGGAATGAAAGTGAAGCTTGAGGGGCAAGTCAGGCTTTTTCTATTTTATTTTATTTTAATTTAATAACACATGTGCAATGAAGATGCAAGTTTCAGCAGGCAAGGATTGACAAGACAATAAACCTACTCCCTCCACTGGTCTATGAGAAATTAGCCAAAAAGCCTGTATTACAGGGTTACAAAATACATGTGGTGAAGTAACAAGCCATCTATCTTTGTACCTATTCTACTACAGAATTGATATGCAATAGATAATCCTATTTCTCCTTCTAGTCTATCAAATGTCAATAACATAATCCAGTATTTTTTTAGGAAAGACCCAACTCAGCCCCTCACAGCCACTCTTTTCCTGCCTTTTTGTTTGCATCACAGAAGATACAAAGGTGAGTGACTCTAGAACATCAGGGCAGCCCACCAGCTGCTTATTTACAACCTTCCCACACAACAAATTAACCAGCCTTGATGGAATGAGCATTTAGGGCACAACTTCCATAAGTGATATGAAAATCCACAGAAGATCTTCCCTTTGCCAATACTTGAATTGGTGTATTTGTCTGAAGCCAGGGCTGTCCT